ATGTCATAGATATCGAAACAACATCCTTCTTCAGGTAAAATGCATTTTTGTGACTGCAATTGATGGTCAAATGACTGTTCCCGTTCGAGCCTTTCCCCCCCCACCACCACCCCCGATGTTATTCCTGGATTGCGTTCAAGCCGGGAATGGGGGTGGCATGAAAGGTGTGGGGGGGAGGCGGGGTGTTTGATGGAGATTGATGTTGGGATTATTAATGGCTGTGGATTCTGTGCAATTGTTTTTTTGAGGATTGCATGTCCATGCATGTACCATGCACCTAGTTTGACCGAGATCCATCTCGGAATTCAATAGGAAAGCATCACTGCGGACTTGAAGCAATAAACAATGTAAGTCGTGTGCTTAAATTATCAACATGGAAAAATAAAACGGATCCTTGCTCACTCATTTTTGGTCTCGTCTCAACGCTCAAAGAATGCGCGACTGAATTTTTTCCAGTGGACGGTGACAGGTTACCCAACCGTCGACGAGCATCACAGCCGAGTCTGTAACAAAACTCCACTTGGGAACATTTTTTTGCTGATTTTATTTTCCTCTCTGCAGCCCAGAAGCACTGAAGCAAATGATGGCACCTCTAAGGTTTAATTCCGATGTGTTCCGAGTTAGTTGATCTCTAGTGTTGCCCTGGCTGAGATCAGCTGACTCAGAACAGATCACTATTGAACACCTGGAATAATAATCCTTGCGTTTGATATAGCGCCTCATCATAATGTCAAGACGTCTCAAAGGCTAAGTTTCACTTCACCAATGGATTTTGAAGGGGGACAACCACACAAAATAGAGGGAAACCTGAATATAGATCCAACAGTCAGGTTATTCTGTGGCCGGTTGCAGAAACAGCGCTTTTTAATTGCGTGGGGGTAAAATTCTGCACAGGTGGCCTAAATTGAATTGATTTCAAGTGAATGAAAACGCTGAACCTGTCGCTGAAACATTCTTTTAGCTGTCAAAAGTCACATGCTCAGAATAAGAAACAAAAAGCCTACCTGCACCTCTGAAAATCCATTAGATATAGTAAACGAGAGCAAAAAGGCACAGCGATGGCTTTGTAATATACTTCAACTCAGATTCCTTTCAGTGAAGACCAATATTCTGGAGTGCTTTCAAAATGCAAAGCAGCTTTTATAAGTATCGTCTATAACAGCCCACTGGTTCATTTGTACTTCTGAGTTATTTGTCATTGGGTCCATCGGTGCTGCAATCCAGGGCGGGGAAAGAGCATTTATATTGCCCTCTCCCAAACACTCGCACCTGGAGAGCTCTCTGTACAAGTGCAGGTCAATGAGTCATTCGATATGCTTAAGTGGTATCCTTAGCTGACACCTCAAACACATGAACAACTGAGTCCTTGCACACTGGCTCGGCTTTGCTTGTAAACGATGCAGACCTGAAATCCCACTCAGTCCGACTCTGCAACATCATTTTTGTCTTAAACTGTAAGATCGCACAGAATTGCAGAAAACTCTTAAATAGTCTTGATTTGAGACGTCTAGAAGACGTGAAAAGCGCTATATCAAATGCAAGGATTATTATTGTATTATTATATTGATTTGGAAGCTGGTTTCATTTTGGCTTTGTTTTGGGGGAATTTTCCACAAACTTAAATTATTTTAAGACAAAATGGTCTTAGAGGCTTAGGCTCGGTGGACTTTCAGGCCTGACTGCTCTCCATTCTCAGATATATATCCAGTGGATTAGAATATACTGCAAAGCTTAATATTCTGTGCCCTTTACTGTCACAGTAAAGCCTACTGTTCTTCAGGAAGGCTGAATGATTCACTTGCAACTGCAACTTGCAATTGGTTTAAATGTTCGTGGCGTTCTGTAGAGCATTCACCTCACAACCGAGAGGACCTGGGTTCAAGTCCCAGTCAGGGCAAAACGTTAGGCAAGTTTCCTTACTCCACACGCCTCTGTTTGCTGAGCAGTAAGGAGGAGCCCGATTGTTAGTCGACTGGCAGATCGCTTTTTCGGGGGTAATAATTGCTTAAATTAAAAAAAAAATTGTCACTTCAATCCACGACTGTTTGCGGGGACGCTGCTGTGCGCAATTGGCTGCCGCGTTTCGCCCACAAAATATACAGTCAATTCACTTTACAGTATATTCTCTGTAGCGCTTTGAGACATCTCAAAAAGACGTGATAAAAGTGCTATAAAAATGCAAGCATTATTATAACAAGAGGCAAGAGAGGACTTTGGTAAAATTGATGCAATATGACGCTAACTCCCATCGTGAGCAGTTTCAAATTGTAAGAAAATTAGAACAATTAAATAGTCATCATGAAAATATCTTTGTGAGACACACTTTAATGATTTTTTTGTCCTTTGCAAGGCAACATACTGGAAAATTGAAAAACACAAATAAAAGTACTGGAAGAGATAATACTTCCTTGATTTCTAGCAATTGAATTGCAATCTCCTGTAGTGACAGCAAACGTTATTTTTCTCTCTTTGGAAAGAATATACATAGGAACATGGTTTCACCCTTCGCAACATCAGTAATTCAGTTAAGTACATTAAGAAAAATGCACTGCTTTAGATTCACATTTAATAGCTGCTGGGTCCTTCCTTTTTGCGGAGCTGAAATTGAGTTTGTAAGAAGCATATCAATCACGGGTTCATTCAGCGACTGACTGTTCTAAGTGCATATGCATTCAGAGCGTAAATAGGACGGAGAGGGGGGGTGGGGGTGTTAGGGGAGGCGTAAAGCAAACACGTGGGAGGAGAAAGACTGCATCAGAATAGTGTATCCATATTAATGACCCTCTTTGCTTTAACCTGTCACTGATCTCGCCCGCCCTTGCCTGGCTTTAGTGAGGTGGGCACACAATAAAGGGAATGTTACTGTCCCCTCTGCAGGGGCTACAGCCCACCTCGAAGAGTGGTTTATTGGAATCCTCCAGAGGCAGCAGTACCTCACTGATGCTTCTCTGTTCAAGGACATCCTGAGCTCTCGTCCCTCCCCGTCAAGCCATCAATCAGGTTTCTCCATCGCAGGCTTGGATAGGCCTTCCTCCAGATATTGAGGACGCTTTTGCTGCAGGAAAAATAATAACAATAATCCATAGATTTGATATGGAGCCTTTCACGTCAGGATGTCACAAAACCCTTCGCCGGATACACTGTACCATGAAGTGTAGTGACTGCGGAATTTGGGAGATAACCGTTCGCAATTTTCGCCTGCAAAACACACAGTCACCACACTTTATATATATAAATCCTGTGAGGCGCTTTGAGACGTCTCAACTGCCTGATGAGGCGCAATATCACATGCAAGGATTATTATTATATTATTATTTACATCACGCCAGCCCAGCCCTGCGTTTGCACAATGGCATCTGATTCTGATGCCTTCAGGGACGAGTCACGGACTTCAATCTCATACCCGTGCCTCTGACACTGCCTGGCCTCTGGTCAGCTGTAGCGATGCGGCGCAATGGGCTGACTCACCATTAAACAGTGCTGCTTGAATTTTGCAGCAGCTGTCAGCATAGGAAGGAGGAATACCCTCTTTGCAAATTAATATTCATCCAACTTTCAAATCTTGGTGCTAAAGTCTATTTTGTTACACAATTGAGCCGTGTGGAGATCCCAGATAAGTGATTAAATGTCTGACGGTACCACAGGTGATAAAGTGACAAACATGATCTCCAGAATGATTTTGAAGGTTTTTGCATGTGCTTATCAAATCAGATTTCTACAGTTGCTTATTGTTCTAATTTCCTCCATTTAAAAATAACTAAATTTATAATACTGTACGAGTTAAATAAGTGATCTTCTTAAGGGGGAAGATGGGGAGAAGGAAGATGGTTCTCTCATTTCGAGGCGAGTACTCTAACTGAGCTACAGGACGCCAGCACAGTGCACAAGAATTAGACCAGAAAAAGAACATTATGGCATATCTGGACATTCAGTCCATCTGCTGAAGATCACAACTCTCGATTTCCCATATCCCCAATCCACACCACCATCAAAAAGCTATTCAATCTCCCCTTGAAATCATAAACATTACCCATCGCAAATTTCACCAATGCCTTTCGAACATCAGCCAATGGAATGTCTTTCTGCATGAAGTGACACCCATTTCCTCACCACCACCATCAAACACTAGAACACTACCATGGAGTGTTGTTACCTGGCCATGAAATTATCAAGCTCATCCCACTGTGACAGAAAGATTTACCCATTAAAGAGCGCTGGAAACTGAATCTGATCAAGAAGTTGGATTGCAGCCCAATAGAGTTTCAAAAGTTGTTTTTCCATAACAACAACTTGCAATTTATATAGTGCCCCTCACGCAGGGCAGTGTCCCAGAGCACCTAAGGCTAACTACATGTGTTGGTAAATATTGTCTTCTAAGGATTAGCAGAGTACTGCATTCAATCCACAACTGTTTGTTGAACACTGCTGTGCGCAATTAGCTGCCGCATTTCTCACACAAAATACAGTCAATGGACTTTACAGTATATTCTGTGAAGCGCTTTGAGACGTCTCAAAGACATGATAAGGCGCTATATCAAATGCAAGATTATTATTATTACTGCGTGCTTCTGGATTCCGCAGACTGCAGGTTTAGATGGCACTGAATTTAATAAAGGTTATGATTTGCTGTTAGCTAACTGAGAAAATGTTTAAAACACCCAGGGATTGTTCGACACCATCATCACAAGTGGCAGTAAAGTGCTTTTATTGTTCATTTCCCTATGCAACGCTTATAACACAAAAGCATCCCAAACAAAAACATAAGGTCAAGTTCACCTGTGATAAAGTGCGTGGGAAGTATAACTGTAACCATTCCAGTTACTAGTAGCTTCTGTGCACTGAGTAACTTTCACAGCTTTAGTGATAGAATATTCTTCTTTATTGCCTCCCCCGTGAATGGAAAATAAATGCATTCCAAAAAAACACTAATAGCCAATATAATGTTATTGTAACGTAAAATGATTCCCTAACTTAATCAAAATGTTTTTTTGTTGTTGCAGTATTCATCATGGCTTCTGGACTTCTGGTCTACCCGTTTGGTCTGAATTCCCCCATTGTGAAGAAGAATTGTGGAAATTCCAGCATCTACAATGCTGGTGATTGCCAGATCGGATGGGGCTACATGTTGGCCATAGTTGGAGTCATGCTTGCAGTTTTTCTGCCTTTTTTTTCAAGATATGCACCTAAAGAATCCGTCTCACCAACTCCCATCCCCACAATCTTATAGTACTTGTAAGAGAAGGGACAATCAAATGACATCCCGTTTTTACAATTTCAGAAACTAACACAAGGTAAAAAAAATGCAATTTTTTTTTAAGAAGCTACAAAATGGCTGGAAAATAAAGGTCATTTTTATTGAAGTGGCCCAAAGTGCATTACATGACGTCTTCCCGATTTCCTCAACAAAGCAGTTGAGATGAGCAATTTATATAACTAACAATGATATCAGGAAAGTAATATGTCCTACGTGCAGTATTTCTGCTGCGCTAAATGTATAACAGCCAATTTTATCCTGACCCAATATAACTACTAATTTGAGAAGATTCTTACTATCTACCAGGTCATCTATGGGTTTAAGAAAGCAACTGGGTTGGGTTGGGCAATAGTCAGATATAATTTCTGCGCGCTGAAGTATTTCAGCTATTGTGAACAACAGGAATGGGCTCAGTGAGGATATCACAGTTAAAGAACAAAACATGATTTGTGCTTGCTCCAGTTAATAACAAGGCAACAAAACCTTGTGCCATTCAATGCAGCCTTAGGGCAAGGAACTGGGAACAGGATAGAAATTGAACAGTAGTGCTGTGTTTATAGAGTTCTTTCTTTAACGATATTGCTTTCTTCAACACCTGCATCAGAACAAGAGCTGTAAAACGTTACTAGCACACACAACTGTTATGTGACTAATAATGTTTAGAGACATCGCAATGTTACCAATCAGAATTACTCAGTGGCCACGACAACAATGCTGGAAAATGCAACTTGTCTCCATTTTAAACACAAAGCATCCCACCTAATGCTTGGAGATGAAGGCTTATTCCATGCAGTGAGAGGAGCGCTCCAGTGGCAGACCTTGACATGAACATTTAACAAGGCATTAGTAGGCAGACTAATAAAAAAGGATCAAGATGAATGGCAAGGAGAACAGACAACATATGTTAAAGAGGTTTAATATTGAGTTTAGAGTTCTGATGGGGCTTGGACAGACTAAAATCTTGAGTGTGGTATGTTTGATATCTCATACCAATGCAATCCTATCCGGTGACGGTAATCATGCATACATAGTATCTTTAAACCTTATGATAAGACTGGAATCTCCATTGATGGATGTTACATTGGAGATGACTTTAATGTCGTTTTATGATGTCGAGGAGTCCGTGTGAGTGGGCATGGGTCCAGTAAATTCTGTCGAAAAATAAAAAGAATAATTTGGTCACTCAGTCCACTACTGTCTGTGGGAGACACTGCTGTGCGCAATTGGCTTTTCGCCCACAAAATATACAGTCACTACACTTTGCAGTATATTCGGTGAAGCGCTTTGAGATGTCTCAAAGACGTGATACGGCGCTACGTCAAATGAAGGATTATTATTATAAAGGATCTCAAAATGAGCTCATAAAAATACACCTGAACGTCTAGTGCGGTAGAGGCCATTATGAAACACATTTAATAGACATCTGGATAAACAGTTTGCTCCATATGGTTCAGCTATTATCATTCATTATTTCCCAATACTTAATACAATGGTGCCCTTTAAACATACAATGAGGTCGGTCACTTACCTCTTGACTCATTCACTGTACATTACCATTGTGATGTGTGTTGTTATAACCCACGTCCACTCTGCACAGCTGCAATAATGATTGCGTATCCCTCTGGGACAAGGAACTACAGTGGAAATGTTGCCAAACCAAACCAACATGAATTGAGATCATTCTTTTTTTTTTCCAAAAGACTCCTCTCAATCTATTATGCTCATTAGTTTCATTCCTTAGTAAGATATATTTCCGCTCAATAACGTGTTCACAATTTCTGCAAAATTAATTTGATTTTTACAAAAGATTGAAATTTATCGTGCCCGTGCTAGATATAAGATTTTTGAAGCTTCATTGATTTTTTTTTACAATTCTTTGTACTGAAGCTATCTATTTCATTATTTTTTTAATTGAAATGGTTATGCCATAACTTAACTGTGGGCAATTAATTTTTAGAGGATTTGTAAAGGAAAAAAAAATCCCTCAAATTTGTTTTACTATAATCAGTGTTATAAGTGATAACTTAATTCAATACCTGATGGTGATAAGCTATTCTTTAACCAAATGTTTCATGTTTCAAACTTGCCATCATGGTGCTGGTCTAATCTGGAACCAAACACTTTATACATGAAACGCTCCGCTCCTTTTACACCTGTATTGATCAAGCACTGATTAAACTGTCATCTTAAATTTGCAAGGCTTCCTCCATCCCTCTGCTTCCTTGTAACTCTGAAATGATTTGTGAAAAATCTATAGCTTTTAATGACATCAGCTCGGGACACAAGCCTCCACAATAGCAGGACATTAATTTTATCATTCACAGTAGTGAAGTACATATCATTGGTAGCGATTTGTGATTCCCCGCCCCATTTTTCCAAAAGCTGAATGGTTCAAATTTTTCACACCGAAACATAATTTAACCAATTTGATCCACAAATAGCCTATTTAGGTCCAGCCGGATAGGTTCTGTGACTGTTCCATGAGGTTGGTTTTGATTATTTTGCAATCAATATATTCACTGAAAAAGACCTATGCGTATTATTATTTTTTTTAAAATCTCAAATTAACGTTTCCAAAGCCAAGCAGTTCTCTGAGCTGCAAAATAATAATCCTTTACATTTTACATTATTCTGAGTTATGGAATTAGATTCGACCAAATTAGAGGTATAATTAAGACCTTTCTGTCTACTGTGCTGCCAAAATGCATTCAAGCACCACCATTATGAATTACTGCACATGTAGATAATGTCATCCTGTGAACATTCAGTTCATTTCAGAGCTACAGGTTTACCATAGTATACACTCGTTTAAAAAAAAAAACATTTTACACAGGGTCAATCAATATCGGTTACATATAAATACTGAATTCTGAATTTTATACTAAGCTTTCAGCAGCCATCTTTATGGGTACTTTTGTTTCTGTAATGTCTGTACATAGCAGTTGTAATATTGCACCTATATTAAGCATATTTGATGCACCTTTAGAGCAATAGAAATAAAAAATCAGGACCGATTCTTGTTTCAGCAGTGAAATTTGAACATAAAGATGGTTTTCCGGCCGGTGCGAAACCTTAGGCAGGTCTCCTTACTCCACATGCTTCTGTTTACCTAACAGTAAGTAGGAACCTGTTTTTTTTAGTCAATTGACGGATCGCTTTCCGGGGATAATAATCCCTCCGAAACAAAAAAATCTGGTCACTCAATCCACAACTGTTTGCGGGACATTGCTGAGTGCAATGGGCTGCCTAGTTTTGCCCACAAAATAACAGTCACTATACTTTCAGTATATTCTGTGCAGCGCTTTGAAACGTCTCAACATGATAAGCGCAATATCAAATGCAAGGGTTATTACTATTACAAGAAGTGGTCATTCAGCCAATTAAACCCATTTTCACAGGTCTTCCCATCAAACCTACTCCCTCTGTCCCACCAATCTTCTGGGGAAAAACACCACATACTTTCAAATCCCCAAATGCAACCGAGCAAAGCCGACAGAGTACTCATTCAACCCTAATTTAATTCTAACGTACTGCCATCCGCACAATTGCTTCCACCCCTCCCTCTGCCCTGCACAATCACTAGCTGCAGAAGGAAACCCTTGTGTCCATGTAGTATTTGCTGATCTGTATCTACCACTGTATTGTCCAATACTGTTTCCTGGCAGATATGTACCAAGTTATTGTTGAAGGAAGGTCATGCAATCGTATTGCTTTTCACAGTGCTATCATGTGATCAATACAATCAAAGCAAGGTAAATTTGAGGTTGCAAACATCATGTTTACTCGACAAACGAAACTAATTTTAGCACTTAACAATGAATGGACTCTTCTGTCACCACGTTATAATGTGCGCCGATCACCACCAAAAATGGTGTGGTGTCTTGGTTGCTTATTTATAGTGGCAAATATCATTGTGAACAAGTAACAAAAGATTGTTATTTTTAGTGCTCAGAGGCGATCTGAATTATAATGCATGATATTAGTTCTAGTCTGCTTTCAAACCTCACTATTGACAACCATTGGATCAGTGGCAATGAATAGCATTCATTACATTGGATATCTTCCATCATGGTTATGCTTTATTTACCTCAGTAAACATCCTTCTTAGACAGGGTGGACAGAACATTCTGAAGTTTTCTCTGCAAGTTTCATTGTGGAGGTGGGAGGTTTTGCAATTTTTTTTTTCTGTCTTCACCTCCATACCCTCAGAAGCCTAGGTGAGATATTCAGCTCGTGGATAACACCCCCAACTGAATAAGTTCAGCAAAACCACAAACACTACGTGAGGTTGCCAGAACTACGTCAAACAATCCTGGGATTTAAATCCACAACCGTTGGTGGTGAAGTAAACTCTTATTCTGTTTAATGCAAATATTTCAAGGTTCACTGTAGGAGCCCAATGCTTTTCCACATTGTATTTGAAGAGGAATCAAGTCCTACTGCCAGTGTGTGCAGTATAAAGTGCAGAACTTTAGCTAAACCCTCAAGTAAAATCGTTTTCAATGCATTTTACTGTATGAACATATTGTGTAATATTTACAAACTGATCCTATTCCTCTGTCTTACACCTTGTTCTTACGTAACCAATTCGTGCCTTTTATTATCTAACAGTAAGAAAATTCAACCATGAGATAACCAGGTTTTCGTCTTAACAATTACTATAAGTGGTTTTGTACATTGTGTACAAAAAAGTATATGTTCTATGTTTGAAATCTGTTTTTCTTTTTGTGAACTGATTTCTAAATGTTTTGGTGCAAAAAGTGATTGTTCGTTTTGCTCAGAAAGTTCTGCAGCTGAACAAGAGTGGTGATCAAACACCAGTGTTTCTGCTTTAAGATTGGGGGGGGGGGGCATTGCGGCAAACACCTCACAAATATGATCCACTAAAATATTTGAAAATGTAGCAGTCACATTTGGGTCTCAACTAAATTGGCTGCTTAAGGCAAGACGCTGTAATACAGACAACAAAAGTCACCAAATGTCAAGGCCTAAAGTAAACCATATCGGCGGTTTTCAAACAGTAATGACATTTAGTTGGTCACTGTTTCACCAATATACCTTGAGAATAATTTAATTGCGTTCTATTATTTTCTGTGTGATAATTGCTCACAATGGCAAGCTGAACAATTTTAGTTGGTTAAACTCCAGCAGCACACCAATGCCCACTGGGGGCTCCTCCAAGACTTGGTTCTTGCCAACCTGCTAAAATACCTTCCTGGATTAGGTAAGCACGGTGTGTCCATCCAGGGAGTCCTTATGGCCGCACTCAATTCCAGACGAATGGAAATTTTCATATCCATGTGGAACTCTTAGTAGTTTGGTTTGGACACTCTTAATCATTGTTTTGTTTTTTTGCATAGCAAACACCCGGCTGACCCCAAAAAAACTCAGTGTGATTCCGATTCCCTCCGCACCCCCCACATCAAATAACACTCATTCTCGAGGCTTCCACAGGAATAAAAGCCACTCAGGTATAGTGCTGGAGGGTAACTGGAATCAAATGCCGTCAGCAGAGAAGCACTATACAACAGACTTCACGTAGAACACACTCACTCACAATTGCTATTTAGAACATTTTCCTGCCTCGATATTATTCTGGTTGCATCAAGTCATAAAAGATTTGTTGGCCAACTCTAATGTGCAGGCATCATAAATAATCTATTTATAACTGAGCCCAGCAGGGGCTCTGACAGACAAACAAGCAAGCGGGCAGGAAAATGCATATTGCCCTGGGTAAAACTAGATTTATATGTGCTCTTTCCCACCGTTTTAAATACCAGAAAACTGCGTGAGCTATTTCTGCATCCTAATCAGCTAAAACAATGTTTCCGTCCCACCTACACAAAATACAAAGAAACAGAAATAGATTACTCATCCGTTCAAAACATCCCTGCCAGATGGGTTATAAAAACATTTAAGAGAGATTTCACTAGCTCATTACCTGCTGCTCTCAACTAAATGTTAGTCAGTCACCCGGCCACATTTGTCAAAACCCTCAAATAATCATTTAAGTTCTCTTCGACAATTTTACATCAGATTCATCAGCATCAGATTCAAAATGTGTGTGAATTCCAAACTGAACTGAGCCGACATAAAGATATTGTAAGAGACAAGAATCACTCTTCAGTTATGTTATGGAATTTGTGTTTGCCAAAGATCTTCCTTATTATGCTTCTACTGCCAGTATGTGTTTCCAGGGCCTTGGGACATCCTTTCGACGTGAAGGGCACTATGTAAATGCAATTTGCTAGTGTTGTGATAAATCAAGTTTGTGGATGCCTTGATCCATCCCAAGAAAGGCTAAGAGAATAAAGCAATTTAAAATAAAAATTACTTTCAAACTCTTATCTTGAACTAGAAGACTGGTCAACCACTCTATTTGGTCCTCTTTCTGGTGTTTGTTGTGAATTCAATTTTGTACAGTGATTTTGTTGTAAATAAACTAATTGTTAGGGTTCATTCCTCCTTCTAAATGTAACATTTTATGTTGGCAAGTACAAAATGAATTTGAAAATATTTTACCAAACTTGTTATGTGTTTTTAGTTGAATTGTCTACACCTTTCACAATGTTAATAAATGTATGTATCTTACTAGTTATCAAATAAAATTGTGTTGAAAAAGCCCACATATACTTTTTATTCTTTTATCTTAAAACATCCCATGTTTTCTCAAAAACAGTTATTGCTTAAGCAGGGTGTATTTAGGATTCTGCTTATCTTGCTTCTAAAATAGCTACAAACTACATTGTTTTCACTTCCTCTTAGATTCACCTTCCTCTCTGTATAGAGAATTCAGCTGAAATTGTGAACTTGCTAAATAGGACAATTGTGGGTCAACAGTTAATTCCTATCAGAAAAATGCAGTTTCATTAAAACTTTGGTTAATTCTGACAGAAGGTTGGGAATACACGCGTCTGATCCTATACACATTTTTTTACATATCACGAGCCCTATTTGTGAAAAGTATTTTGTTACAATAGTTCAACTATGTAGACGTGAGTGAAAAGAAAAATGAAAATACTGGACTTTGGTATAGTATCCTATATTGTTATTGATTTTAGCGTCATAAATACACTTGACAATAGAATTTCCTTACAATTAACTGCAGATTAGTTCTCAATAACCTTGTACCAATTATGTCACAATCTTTCAATTGTCTTGTGTAAAATTATTACATCTCAAGGATATGGAGACGCAGCGAGTTGGCACACAAAATTCACTAAAAATTAAACAAATTCCCTGCACAATAAACACAGATAAATAGATGAATAACATGCTTCCAAGGTGTGATTTAAATGTTATAAGGGTTTAAAGAATTCAACTTTAAAGAATTGAATAACAGACAAGAAAACCTGAAAGTGTACTATTTAAAAAATGTTTCCATATAAATTAAATATGATTATACATGTAAAGTGATCCTAAAGTTTAAAGAACCCCACAATGACGTTTTTGTATCGCAGCATCCCTTCAAATCTCATGGTGTTTGACTGAAACTCACTTACATTGCATAGTTTAAATGTAAAAATAAAGGTACAAATACTGTTGAATTATACAGAGGTTTCAAAATATGAAATACATTAACAAACCCACTGTGCAATTGTAATTCAAAATTAAGATTTTTATAACAAAACAGCAAACTGGATTCGCACAATACGCTTTCTGTGTACTACCTACATAACATGAGTCCAATAATGAGAACAGACAAAATATTAATGTTGTGCTAACAAAAAAACATTCAGACTTCACTTAGTGTCTGAACAACCTGTCTCATTTCATCATCTGCTACCCTGACAAATTCAACAAAGTTCTTCTGTTCTAGAACTGAAGCAGGTCTGACAGACACGCATTTGAAGAGGTTTCTTTTCTTGTCATAGTTCCCCATGCATCTGTGCACTTGTCCTCTGATTAGTCTGGGAAGGTCACGGTCCTGTTGGGAACAGCAAATAAAGATCTGACACATCTGCTACCACATTAGTATCTGTTGAAAATGTTTTCATTATGTTTTGTATGCTACAATCTTACCAGCACTACATCCTATTATAATAGCAAGAGGAGTGATCAAATACTAAAATAAATTACTGCCAAGTACCATAATTTATTCACTGGAACAAAAGTCAAGGCATAGATTAAAATAAAAATGAAGCCTCTGTTGATCATATAAAATTAAATAACCATAACATTCAGAACATATAGATTTTAGCACCTTATTGTGCAGTGTCTAAAATTAAAGTAACAAATATCTTAAAGGACTGTGTTGTCACTGCACAAGAATAAATAAATGGAGCAGTGAAGATATGATGCAGTGCTGCAACACCACACTGCCACAGAGTGGTAGGATACAACTCTGCACGAGTCAACTCTCAACCTCAATCGTGACTTGAAGAAAAGGCATTGAATTTAAGTCTTGTGGTGCTCCTTAGGGAGAGAGAGAAAATCATAGGAACATTCTCCAGCACCTCCACCTGTTTGGCACAGGAGACACAGTGACAAAGACCCGTGAGTAAACTGAATGTCTTCAGAGCCAGAGAGACCCCGCCTATCAAGTTCATTAGCCTTAATAGAGCAAAGGAAGGGGTGAGGAGGTTCTCCAGGATTTGAACCGACATTCTTCTGGTCCCTATTGACTTGGGCTGTACAGCGACACTCCAGAAAAACTACAAAATGGTATTTTACTCTCCACAAACACAGATTCAACGCCCAGTATAATTATTCCTCACTTAAATAAGGCAAAGCTATTGTAAAAGCTACTGGAGTTAATCAAATAGATCTAGACATATTCCATTTTTCTTTCGAAAGATAAGGAGACTATTCTCCCCCATTGATTTAGAATGAGAAGTAAATAATAATAATAATCCTTGCATTTGATATAGCGCTTTTCACGTCGGGAGGACGTCCCAAAGGGCTTCACAGAACACACTGTGAAGTGAATTGACTATATATTTGTGGGCGAACGCGGCAGCCAATTGCGCACAGCAATGTTCCACAAACAGTCGTAGATTGAAAATGACCAATTTATTATTATTTTTGGTTTAGGAGGGATTATTATTAGGCTCTGTGTGGAGTAAGGAAACTTGCCCGAGGTTTTGCCCTCTGCCTGGAATTGAACCCACGTCTCTCACATGCAAAGCGAGTGCTCTAACCACTGAGCTACAGGACTCCAAATATCTTTCCCCAGCATCATATATGGTGTAAAGGAGCTAAATTCTCTGTACAGAAAGTGATTTTTTCTAAGGCAGTGTGCCCCACCATGTGGCCCAGTGGATAAATTGCAATGTTTCCATGTATATAGCATACAATACAATTTTAGCTTAAGAAATTCAGTCGTGACATGTTTCACAGTAGTCTTAAAATTATAAAGCAATAAACTTACTATTTCGTAGAACACACATGGTACTGAATCCTTTCTATCTCTGAGAAGAAAATGTTTAGCACACTGATCTCCAGCTACAACTGCAGAATCTAGAGTAGCTGTGAAAATAATCCAAAATGTTGATGAGGATTCAGACCATTCCTCATTTTATTATTGTTGTGCAAATAGATAAATTCCTGTGATAAGGCTTTCAGAATTCAGCAATCAACTGTGTAATGAATCCTACATTACGCTTGCTTAATACAGACTAACATTCCAAATGCTGTATCGTAACATTTCATCTTCACTGTTATGTGACACGAGTTATTATTAATGAGATGTATAATCACAAAACTCAACATTGAGAGTCTGTCACATCTTGTTAGGGCATTGTTGGTCAGTAACCACAGGCAATATGTTATTCTTCCTGAGTATTACTGACATCATTCTGGAGTAATAAACATCCTAGAAATGAAACAGGTCTAATTACTGTACAATCAATCATTTCCTTCTCAATACTATACTGTTGTAAATCAAACCAACCAGGAAATAAGAATACACAACAGCAAGAGACACCAACATTTTAAAAAAACTGGCTAATGTTAGAGGCAAACAAGATAGAGGGAAAAACATGAAGTGCCTGCTCACCAGCAACAATTGTGCCGAACCATTTATATACTGTATCTTTCAAAGGTATAGCCTGAAACCCTTGGGAATTCTCAATGCAGTACACTAGATCAGTTCCAAATTGATTTATTTGGAAGATACTCTAAAAGTATGTCAAAGCATGAGCTGTATTACTGTCATATAGTGCTTACTGTCAGAATAGTGCTTGTCCACTGTGAACCAGCCTTTGAGTCAGGTGGACATCAACAATATTACTGCAGATCTAGAAGCAGTTCATCCACAGAGATTCCATTTACTTATCCCACAATCCACTGGTTATTTACTCATTTTATACATTGTAAATTCATCAGGTCAACTGACTGAGCTACCCGAGATGAGACGAACTGTATTACAGTATATAATTTCTCTATTAGAGAGGTAGTTACAAGAAAGTAATCATGAACTAATTACAAAAAGCAGCTTTTTTAAAACTTGTTAATAGTAGAATTGTCCTGAACAAACATGAAATGAAAGGATTGCTAAAATAATGACCCCAATGATTTACTGTGGTACTATATACTTAAAAAGTAATTAATTTCACACCCTACGTGAAGAAATTGGTCTCTCTCCAATCACCAAGGTCATTATATAGTGGAAACCCATTACAAAACACTTCATTAGAATGTGAGTTCACTTATTGCACGGTTGGGGTTTAAATCCTGAAATTATCTACCCAAAACATCCAAGCACAAGGGCCTGCTGCGCACAAGTACACCGAAAAACGAAACACCAGCCAGCATAAAGAAATAAAAAGGCTAATTTCCAGGTCATCAAGTCATCAGCAATGTCACTTCCTGTGCAAGCACATATATGGCAGTTTTAGGAAGGTGGAAAATCTGACCAGCAGAACATGGAAGATCTGACTGGCAATCACTTCCTATTATAGCACTGATTGGGATTTTGTGAACCCCCCAATTACCTCATTATAACAGGGCTCCACTCTATATTGTGACAGTAAATGCAAATAACCATGGTTGACAGCATCATCTTGGGACATAATTAACCTGATTTGATGATTGACCATGAATCACATTTTCACCATTCTCTTGTTTTCTCTCATTAAAAATATCACCATCTGTACGTTTTTAAAAAGCCCCAAGTGTTCCACCGACTGATTACATTTTTATTCATCACTTCTCTGAGTATATTTTTTCTTTCAACAATTTTAACGGAGTATTGTTAACAGCCAATTATCATTTTACTTAATTTCTTCCATTTATCTTCAATATGTAAAACTGGGTCATTGACGAGAGCGAGTCTAATTACCTACTAACAAAGTACAAATAACCTAGTCATTAGCTCAGCCACCTCCAGCTAGTACAACAACAAAAATTGCGTTTGTATAACGCCTTTCACATCGGGAGGCCATGCCAAGGCACTGGACAGTCAAGGGTTTGCACCAAGGGTTGGAATCAAGAGGGGGGAGGGCAAGGGGATGAGGGTGGAAGGATGACTGAAGGCATGGTTAAAAAGCAAGGTCTTGACACAGGCCTTGAAGGAGGCAAGGGAGGGGGCATGGCAAAGGGATTCTGGGAGGAGTTCCAGAGGGTGGAAACAGAAAGGCTGAAGATCTGACTGCCAATGGTGGGGTAGGCAGGGGATATGGAGCAGGCCAGTGCCCACCGAGCAGAGGGAGTGGCCAGGTTGATATGGCTTTAGTAGGTCGCAGAAGTAGGGAGGAGCAAGACCGTGTAGGGCTTTAAAAGAGGACGTGATGAAAGCTTAGATGAGGGTCTTGGTGATCTGAATACGATCAGACTGCAGGAATTGATCTCTAGTATTTCACCCAAAGGGGTCAGTGTCAGCAGCTACATCACAACTGTGGCCGAACTTGTCCTCTTCTCATATATGCACCCTCCAGCAGTAGCCTCTGGTACACTAATCAAGAGGAGGAATCCTGGTTGATTTTTCCCTCCATCCTTAACTCTTTTTGAGCCACTTGTAACGCTCCCCCATTTGGGAAATGTCCATTTTGGCTGATGTCAATTTAACAGCACAGACAAGGAGTCAAACATGGGACTTTAAAATAATATTCAAATTATTGCTTGCAAAATCACATATTCATAGTCCTAGAAAATAAATGAGATAAAGCACTACATGCCATACAAGATGCTGTTATCGTATGCAACACACAGAATTACTGGGAAAAAATCCAAACTTCTGTTATTTAAAAAAAACGATGAAACTGTAAATCACTATTCAGGGACATACCAAAGACCTCAAAGAGCATTGTAACTCTGTGGCTATACTGACTCCATTGCTTCATGCCTTCTATGGTTGTAGTTATAACACGCAATGAATTATCCGGTTGTGTAACTTTCACTTGAACTGACTGATGCTTCTGTTTGTAAAAAAAAAGTTAAACATATCCGCAAGTACAGGAGGACTTACTAGTGGGAACTATAAAAAATTAAGGTATTGCAATTGCAGTTAATGCGTTATTATTTATAATTGTAAATTAGTTTTATAATGTTAGAAAAGTAACAAAATGTAATATTATTGTTAAATTATGTTCAGTATAATTAATGGTAATCCATATCTACTGACCTATGTTGGCAGTTAAAATCTAATAATAAAAATAAAATACAGAAACTGATATAGTATTTGGATTATAGTTGATTAGAAAATGTGGTGGAGTGCATAAAGTGCCTTGTAACAAATTTAATAGAAGCTTTTTTCTGTAATCCCATCTGAAGTCCATTATAATTGCCAAAAATTCAATTGGAATGTACAAGACTGAGGTCGATAAATATCTATGGGTATGAAGGGATATGGAAAAAAGGCAGGTAATAATAATAATCCTTGCATTTGATATAGCGCATTTCACGTCTTCTCGACGTCTCAAAGCGCTTCACAGAATAGACTGTAAAGTGAATTTGACCGTATATTTGTGGGCGAAACGCGGCAGCCAATTGCGCACAGCAGCGTCACACAAACAGTCGTGGATTGAAAATGACCAATTTATTATTGTTTTGGAAGGATTATTATTAGGCTCTGTGTGGAGTAAGGAAACTTGCCCAAGGTTTCGCCCTGACCTGCCTGGAATTAAACCCAGGTGACTCGCTTGCAAGGCGAGTGCTCTAACCACTGAGCTACAGGACTACAGGACTCTAATTAGACTTGAGATGCATATCAGCCATGACCTAATAGGATGGTGGAACAGGCTCGGAGGCTGAATAGCCGACTCATGTTCTTAAAAATATTTGAATTTGATAAAATGAAACTTTGATAAGAACTAGTGTGTGCCCAGTGGTCTACACCAATGTAAATTATTTTCATTTTATTCTCAAAAAAGTCAGGTGTTCTATAACTAAATATTGTTTCAAAGTAATTAGATTCTGCATTTTGAATCATTATTATTTTATTAAAAATCTTCAGTGAACGTAATGAATACTAATGGTTGATTTGCTAAGTTAAATCTTTAGCCTCTTTGTGCATCTTATTTGTGTTTCAATTTAACCTCAATACAAGACTTGATTTCAAAACAATGAGAAGTAACGGTATTGAAGATATTAACAAAAAGAAAGTAGAACTATTTGAGAAAAACAGGAAGGGATTTGAAAGAAGGAGTGCAAAGCAAGAGTTTTTGAAAAGACTCCCATTAACACAAATTAAAAGGAAGCAAAGAGAGAATGTTGTTTTTTTTAAAAAAAGAAAAGTAGGCATTGAGAAGCTGGGATAAGAAAACAGAATTAATTGCCAAATCTTGAAAGCAAGTTTAAATGTTGTGGGGTTTTATAGAAGTACATGTAGGAAAATAGAACAGGAAAAAAGGAAACTAATGGCTTGACTTAGACAAATCAGCATTAACATTTTAAAGAATCCCATATTAATGGAGAAATGTCACTGGTAAAATCCTTTGCATCAAGCATTTATGAAGTGAATACAGAATACAACTGAAACTCATAGCACAAAAATCAGAATGACCATAAATCAAACTTGTTTTACAATTTAAAGCAAACATTTTGAATTTGGGGAAAACAACCTATGGTAGTGTATTTACTGTACATTAATCCTTTAAAGCTACAAAATATAGGAACAGCAAATAAAGTATAGAAATCATCCCATACTTTATTCAATCCTAGGATAACAGGAAGGGTTGCAGTTGTTTTTCCAGGCCACTGGCAAAAACATCCAATAACAAGACATGAGAAGGTACACAATGCAGTCACTGGCCCTGATTTTCTGTAGATAGAGACCTGCTCAGCATAAAGCTGCCCTTATATTTGAATGAGGTGAAAAAAAAACTATCCAGTCCAAGTTTTCAAAATTGGGCCCATCAGTGGTCTAAGGGATAAGAAAATCTCAAATGCCCAAATTCAACAAAGCTCAATTTATTTAAACAGAATATATAAAAATGTACCTGATTTGTACCATCACCAGGTTTAGAATCAAACCGCTTTTCAGCAAATTGATTTGGTTGAACGATTGGTCTGCACCTTGCTGCATTCTGCGGTGTATTCTTGGGCCATTGTGGCTTAACCTGATACATTTGCTCAGCAGATTTTGTATGTTCTATATTAGATTCAGGTGCCACGTGTGACCTGAAATTACTTGTAGTAGAACTCTGCGTGTAATTATTTCCTCTCATTGAACCAAATTCTTTCCTCTGATTACTCATAGGCTTAGTATTTTCTTTCCAAGTATTTGCAGACTGTGGCCCAAGACCTGTGCTGAAGTTGAAAAATGTAAGTTAGTACAACCTAATACAAATTTCAGAAAAACATTTTACATTTAAATATTTTCATATATACATATGCCAAAAAGTGATCTGATGCAGTGAAATTTTTACTTTCTTAGATCGACCACTTGTGCACATTTCTTAACTCATGCAAAATAGTTTGTGCATTCAAACAAACATTAATAAACATTTTAGTAAAGCTCCTACTCTGTTGTTCCCATTCCCTCACTGTTCTAATTCTATTTTTTTTAAACTTCAATTTACTTTTTTTTCCCCGATCACCTCTATATGCTCTGCCTCTAATTTTCCCAATTATCTTTAAAATCTTTTACTTTTCTGTCTTCTTTCTGATTCCCTTTGTTCATTTTGGAAGTGGGAATACATTTCTGTTCGATAAACAGCCACAAGTGAACTGGAACAATAGAAGAATCAAGTTTCATTCTCCCCACCCCTCACTTCCACATTGGAAAGTGGTTTGCCTCCCTACCAAAATTTGGAACTTGCCGCAAACGAGTTCAGATATCAAACTCACATCCTGGAACTGTGGCACAATATTTTATTCAGACAGTGCTATCAATGGCAAGCTATGAGGTTTTAGCTGGTTAGACTTCAGGTGCATCCCAACTGCACTCTGGGGTCCACAAGCCTTGATTCTTGCCATCCTGCACGTAATACTCTCCGCAATCAGGTAAGCAGAATGCGCCCCTCCAGGGAGAGAATGTGCATTCCAATCCAACAATCTATCTCTGGAATTTCCATGGATAGATCGGATGCATGGACTCTCAGTTTGGTTTGGATACACATGGTGATGACAAATGTGTCGGACACCGGCTGCCCAAAATAAAAAATTTATGTTGAGCAAGAAACAGTCATACTTTGTGAACAAACCAATCAACCTTATCAATTAAATCTACTTCAAAGGCATATATCATCACTAAGATGTAATCACTTACTTCCAATTTGTTTTACAGCTTTGCGCCATGGTGCTGGGTGCACTATTAAATTGCTTCTGTTCTTGACTTTGCTGCTGTTGAGATACTTGTTGCTGGAACTGACTAGAAAGGAGCAATTTAATAACTAAAACAAAGAAGAAATAAAGTCTAAAAGGACTACTTTTTGTTCAAATTACTCCTACTAGACTTAGATTGGTTCTCAAATTCCGACATTCATTAAATTTAACATAAGTCACCTAATGCAACAGACCAAGTACCAGATATTGCGTTACAAGGTTTCCTTACTTGCGGAAAGTGTTGTGTTATAGGTATTCTCTCAAGACTAACTTTCCCTTTAAATCATCTTAAAATGATGGAAACATGTCTAAGTTATGATCTTCACCTATAACAGCTAATCCTGATACCACTGCTTGATAAATCACGTGATTTAAATGCAGAAACCTGCCCTCCCACTATGACACCACTACCAACGAAGAAAACAAAACTGTAAATTACTTATGCATGTATGTTGTTAGCATTTTATAATACAGTACAATCTGGTGTTTCAAATCATAGAACATCACAAATATACAAAGGTTATAATCTAAATTTAACTTAAGTGGAGGATTTTTTTTAGTATAACACTGCTTTCCTATTGCTTGATATTGCATGTAGACCAATACACCTATTACAAAACCTCTTTCTGTCACATATTTGTATCAAATAAATTGTTCCATTTTAACAAGTTACAGAATATCACTAATGTTACCACAAGTATTGCTAACCCCACCAGGGAATTGCAAGTAATCTTAATGAGTTTTCAAATACAAAATAAATTGCATCATTGTAAGCAGTAGCTGGTTTGAATCATGTTACAAATTTGCAGCACAATCTCTTTTGCATTTCATCTGAAGCCTTGATTGTAGTAAACTTCCTATCACTTTCCAAAAGGAATAGAGCAGGTTTTGGGTTCTGAACCAGGCCAGTTAGAGCAGTCTCAGAGAGGAATTACATTCCTGTGTTGGAAGGAAATTCCATCCACAAAGGACTCAGACTTTATCTAGTTGCTGTTAAAGTGCATCATATTTAGCATTGCAGATCCCCTCATCTTAAAAAACAAACTATAAAAATGCACAATAGAGCATAGTAATTTTGATCTTTGAACTACAAAATCTGAAAAAGTCCCATTGTTCTCAAATTATATCACTAATATATAACCCACTTACTTCCAGCTGGTTTTACTATTTTGCCCCACAGTACTCAGGTCACTGGAAAACTTCTTGTATTCTTGACTTCGGTAATTTTGTGGTGCTTGTTGCTGAAGTTGGCTAAAAATTAGCATTTTATATATAGCAATTAACATGTAAAACATTAAAATGTATGAACAAGAAATGGCAATTCAACCAAGGAACTTTTAGAGAAAATCTAGAGATGGACATTAATGAAGAAAACAACAACAAGATTACATTTATAGAGCACCTTTCACGTCGGGAGGATGTCCCAAGGCGCTGGACAGTTGGGTCGGGACCCGAGCAGGGGGGAAATGGTCAGGGTGAGGGGAGGGAAGGGAGGGAGCGAGGAGGGGGTAGAAAGTCGAGATAACAAGATACAGAAGGAAAAGATAGAACAGAAGAATTTTAAAAAATAAAGACGTGCACAAAATATACAAATTATAGTCAATTATACAACCTACCCACTGTTTAAGCTTTGTGAACGGTGAGATTGTGGTGATGCACCACAGCCTCCATTATCCATACTGGGTCTAAAATTGGAAAATTGGAACTGGTTCCGAGGGCTGTTCTGTACTGCAGTCTGATTTGTTATTCCTCTTGTTTCTGTCAATCCTTTGTTTCCGTAATGTTTAACCAATAAAAATGTAAATATTCAATTTGTATATGCAAAATCATAAAGTAAAATCTATAGAAGTAATATGGACATAGGCAAATGTGATATGAAATGTGCTGATAATATCAAATTAGGTGCATGACAAACTGGAATTCAGTTCAGTTGGCATGGAATTCAAACTCATCAAATTGAATGTAAAGAATGCAAAATAGTGCATTTTCTGAGCGAGAACAAAGAAATATACTCAAAATGGTATAATGAAGTGGAAGGCAGCCAAGACATCAAGTGTAAGCTGCCTTTTTGCCCACAGGGTCACCCTAGACCAAAGTCACAAACCCAAATCATAAGGGAATTAGTAGAGGCTAGAGAGTAAGAGAATTAACAGTATTGGATAAAAATGTACTCCACATTTAAAGAAGTTGCCTTGAAGCCAAAAAGAGGAAAATGTAAAGAACAGTGAAAAACATAAAGGGAAAACAAAATCCCAAACACTGAAAAATAAAGCATCAAGAGTAGTGAATACCGGGAATGAACTTTAAAAAAAACGTAACTGTTATAAACACACAGCTCAATACCCTAAGGTGCTCATTAGACATGACCATCAAACGTGTCCTCAAAATTCTCCGGAAGGCTTATTCGATCACACAGCTTGTGTGCTGCCCCATGTAGCTGTATTGCAGCGAAGGGAAAGCAAATCAAAATGCTTCAACACAGGAGGAAGTGAATGGAGAAAATTCTCCACATAAAATTTTGTGGCAAAATTGTTGCTTTTTTTTTGCTGTTAATAGATTTGGGGAAATCAATCACTTTAATTACCTGCTGGTGCAGAATCAAAACTCTGAGGTGTAAGGAAAAAGCTACTTGAGCTTGATTCATGCTCTGTAGGATTGGAAGTCAGTGGTAGTCGGGCTCTTTTCTTTTGATTGAACAGCAGAACAGGAAGACATCCTGAAAGATACAATTCGAATCACAATTGATAATCAAGACTTAATTTATTTATCTAGAATTTTCAAATGATCAAACAGACTGGAAAATTGCTGCATTAACTCTGCATCTCTTTCCAGCTGTTCTAATTCAACCTCCACTCCAATCTCAACTACCTCTTGTTGAGAAGGGCCACACCACTCAAAAAAATTATTTTAAAAAAGACTTATTTAAAGAAATTGATTAAGGGTTATGGAGACAATATAATGCTGTTCATGTTTAATTGTATGTTGTGTTAACAAAATAAATACCAAGTAAAGATCACTAAAAAGCAAATAAACAGCAACAAAAAACAACCACTTCAAAACAGTTATTTTTAAAAGCTAACACAAATTTAATATGTATCTCACTCAAGAGGGTATTAATAATGTATGAGCCTCATCAGTGATTGCAACAGACTCTTTGACCATGGGGAGGCATTACAGCCAAATCTTACCCTGTTCTCACCCAACATCGACATCCACAGACCTCCAGCAGGGGTCAGTGGGTAGTACTGAATCACAGGCAACCACCCTGGTTTGATGTTTTTATCTCCCTAACTCGCCAATTCCGTGCTTTTAGCGCCATGCCACTAAGATCAGCTCACTCAGCACAAACCTGAAACCCTCTTAGACTGTCTGAACCTATCTGCTATTCAATGAATAAACATGCTGTATCTCCAATGAACCATTTAAGACTATTTAAAATCATTTTCTTTAATGTGACAAATCATTAATCAGTAGATATAGATTACCACTTTTTTTTAAATTCAGATTGCAGGTTCTGTGACCAAAGGTTGGAAGCCACATTGGTCCAAGGTCCAAACCTGTTTTTTGGTTTCAGAATAGAAAGCATACAGTTTAACAGAAAGGGAATGAGCACATATTACAATTGCAAATACTGGAAATTCTGGTGATGAAAGACATTTCTATTTGCATTTTGTTTGTCTTCATTGTCCTCACTGTAACCTTTCCCTAAATCTTGGTGTTAATCTCCACAACAATGGGGGAAATCTGACACCTGATATTAGCCATAAAATGACAATATTTTTGTACATTGCGAAGATAACTGAATATATAGTACTATACAATACCCGCACTAAACTCCACACCCTGATTACCCCAGTCCTTGCCAAACTCCACTGGCTCCTTGTCAGAGCAGATCGACTTCAAAATCCTCAATCTAGTGTTTAAATCCCTCCACTCTTTGGCACGCCCCCATCTCTTCAACCTCATCTCTCCTCACAGCACTGCCTCCTTGTCCCTCGAATCCTCCGCTCCACCATCAGCAACCATGCCTTCAGTCACTACACCCTGAAGCTATGGAATTCCCTCCCTCAATACCTTTACCATGCCCTCTCTTCCCCTATTTTCAGGGTGTGCCTGAAGACCTTCCTCTTCAATCATGTCTATGGTCACCTTCCCCCTCCCCCTGGTTCAGCATCGGGCTCCGCCATTGTTACGTGCTCTGGGACGCCACCTGGCATGGAGAGCGCTACATAAATGCAAGTTGTTGTTGTTGAGTACTATAAACTGGTTGTGGGAGGGAGTTCCAGAGGTTAATGGTACAGGAATTGAACATTTGGCTACTGATGGTGACACATAATGCAGGGGATACTCCACAAAACCAAGTTAGTTGAGCACTATTTGGTGATGTCAAAGGCAATTTGAAAATAACAGGTCTTTCTGCCTACCCATTTGATTGGTTACTTAACTGATAAGTTTAAAGTACCAAATGTCCTCTAGTCTTATCCAAAAAATCCAGCTGATCCAAAACACTGCCGTCACCATACTCAACTGTACGTACCCCCATACCAGTTCTAGCCAGGCTCCATTGGCTCCCTGTTGCCGATCGGATCGATTTCAAGCTCCTCACTCATTTTAAAAATCCCTTCATGCCCAGCATACCTCTACAACCTGCTTCTTCCCCAGCCCACCACCCGCGGCCTCCACTCGACTGGCTCCAGCCTCCTGTATGTCCCCCGTTCCCTCCATTATTGGTGCTGCGCTTTCAATCACTACGCCCCGAAACTCTGGTCACTCTTCCTCTATCCCGCCGTCTTGACCCTTCCTTACGTTCAGGTTCCGCCTGAAGACCTTCCTCTTCAACCATGCCTACCATCACCTTCCTTTCCCCCTGGCTCAGCGTCATTCTTCGCAACTGTCAAGTGGTCTGGGACAATACCTTGAGTGAGGGGCACTATATAAATGCAAGTTATTGTTGTCTCTCTGTCTACCCTCTCACTTTTGAAAATTCTGGAAGAATTGAAGATGTTAACTTTAAATTAGCTATGGTTTTGCTGAGCTGCACAGTTAAAGTTTAAATCACTCATGTTTCGCAACCTAGTACAATGTACACATTTCCCAATCATTGCCAAACAATTAAAGTTTGGTAAGTTATTATGTCTAGATAGTAGTTAGGTGATTTCTGCAGATCTAAGAGAACCTGATTACAGGTCACGCAGTGACTATGCTTCCTATATTTTAATAAGAAACACAGAAACATGACTGATCAAAGTATAAGCTCAAAATGATCTCCTGATGGCTTAGTTGGTAAAGCCACTGGCTTGTGTGAACTGACTTATATAATTCTGGATGATTTCTGATTCAATCTCTGGTTTATTTGAATTAGACAATCACAACCGAAGAAATACTTCAATTGAGCTCAGCGCCCCTGAACAATGGAGGCCTAAATCACTTCTCATCACTATCCACTGATGCTTTCTGCAGTGTAGTGCATCAAATGTAACCAGGTTTATGAAAGGAAGACATTCAACATTATTTTCAATGGCAAAGCCCACGAAGCTCGGTCTGTGGCACTGAGAAGCCAGATTACAGCTTGCTCATCAGCTTCATCATTGAGAATCCCATCAGGAGGTTCACTACCCACACATCCAAGTATAATCAATGTGTTAAGTATAGACTGTATCATTGAATAAGTGCTCCGAGATGCAACCCCGAATGAAGGATGCTGCATAAATGCAAGTTGTTGTGGTTGTTGTAAACGGACCTTAATACAGTTTGAATATCTACTCTGAAGAATGGTGCAGGAATTCACAGTGAAATGGAAAACAATTTAAATGTTTAAAATTAGGAGAAATTAACGTTAAGAACATTGTAAGTCCTTCAAATACAGCACAGTCAACATAGATAAATTACCCGCCGTTGTCCTCGTTGTATTTTCTGTGTTATTCCTCTTCATGATCCAATCTACGTTTTGTCACAAATACATAATAAAATAATAATTGCATTTGATGACAGTATCTATCACGTCGAAACACTGATGTTTGGCGATGTTTTTTTCTGTACAGCGTAGCGACTGTGTATGTGTGTGGGGGGGGGGGGGGGTCGTCAGGGCTGCACTGTGAAGCCGTCGGGGCCAATGCCGGGGCTTCAAACCCACAGCCTCCGGACGCCAAGGTGACCGGGACTTCACCAGCTGAGGCCTCCGGCTGACACCTCACGCCACACCGGCCACTCGGTAATTACTTACACAGCGGCTGAAAAGCCAAAAAAAAAACAACCCCGAAGGGATCACCTCCCGCCCAAACCTGCTGTCGCCGCCGCCGAGCGGCCCTCACGTGCCAGGCCCGCTCTCCGGGCCTGCGGGGTCAGGCGGGTGAGGCTCGGCGACGGCGCTGTCGATGCTGGTGAGGGGAGAGCAGGGGAGCAACGTGACCCGACCGACAAGGAGGGAGGGCGGGGAGGGAGGGGCAGGAACGACGACACGTTTTCCCACCGTCGAGGTCGGGAGGTTTTTTTTGAGACCGTTGGCGATGGACCACGACGTCACCCGACCGTTGGGGGGGAAGGGGCGTGAAGTTGACGTCACCCGACCGTTGGGGAGGGAGGGGCGGGGCGCGAGCCTGACGCCACCCGACCGTTGGGGAGGGAGGGGCGGGGCGTGAACCTGACGTCACCCGACCGTTGGTGAGGGAGGGGCGGGGCGTGAGTCTGACGTCACCCGACCGTTCGGGGGGGACGGGGCGTGAGCCTGACGTCACCCGACCGTTGGGGAGGGAGGGGCGGGGCGTGAGCCTAACGTCGCCCGACCGCTGGGGAGGGAGGGGCGGGGCGTGAGCCTGACGTCACCCGACCGTGAGCGGGGCGGGGCGTGAGCCTGACGTCATCCAATCTCATCCTAAACCCCGCCCACAGGTCTGACTGGACGCTGTAACCAAAGCACTGTGTAACCAAAGCAAGTCAGGCATTGCCCATCTCCCTCACTGTGGCCCGACCCCAGATCAGCTAATCCACTTAAAGTATTAGCCAAAACCCAGACCGACACGGCCCGCAGTGCGATGAAGCAAGATTTGATTAATAAAAGTTACGACCGCGTCGAGCGGCATTCAATGCGACCTGGAATGCTCCCAACAAAGGAGCCCCATTGTTTGACAAAGTCCAACGTGACTGCCGCGACCTGGCACAGCAACCGGGTCTTAATAATAATAATAACAATATAATAATCCTTGCATTTGATGTAGCCTTCTCGTGACTTCGAGACGTCTTAAAGCGCGTCACAGAATATACTGACTGTAAATTCGCGGGCGAAACGCGGCAGCCAATTGCGCACAGCAGTATCCCTTGTACTTAAACCAAAGAAAGTGGTAAATTTGTAAGTTATAAAGACTCGATCTCAAAGGAATGATTCCTGATGGCCGCAGGAGAACGAGCTCACCAAAGCAGAGCAAAGCACGCCAATTCACACAGCAGATGAAATTTGATGTATGGAAGTACAGTATTTCTTTTTTTAATTTTTCATTACTCCCCAAAAAGCAGACAGATGTGTCATGGTAACAGATGTGGAATGCTTTGCCAACAGGTCACTGAGTTCAAAGCAAATAGGAAAGTATGTAGGCAATTTAATCAATCTGTTAAGGAAAGGATTATCCAGCTTTAATTGTACGCTTCAAACAATTATTAACAGAATATGCTGATTCTTAGGCCCTTTTGGTTAATCAAAATGCCAGAAAGGGTGGTGGAAGCCGATTCGATAACAACTTTTAAGAGTATAGATAATTATTTGGGGAGGACAAGTTTGCAGGGCTATAGGGAAAGCGCGGGGGAGTGGGATTGATTTGGACAGCTCTTTTCGAAGAGTGGGCACAGACACGATGGGCCGAATGGCCTCCTTCTGTGCTATATAATTTTATGAGTCTAAATGTCTCTTTCTAAAAACCTACTCAGTTTTGCACGCAAGGTCGAGACTTAACTTATATAACTTGCATATAACTTAGCAATAATGCATTTTTAAAAAAAATTCTTCCTCCTTTCCTCCTCCTCCAACATTTCCTCACACCGCTCACCTTCATCGGGAAGGACACAGACCAAGAGAATTGTAACTACAAATTTTCCACTGAGTTTGTCTTCCGCTCTGAGACCTCCACTCGGCTTTTTATGCAGTAACATAGAAAATTGACAAGTGAACACTCACCATTTAGAGATTGTGGTCATGAACCCATGTACTGATTGATACTCCAGGCAGGTCCTTGTGTCCAAGGCATCACCATGTGAGAAATCATTGGCACCAGAATGAAACCTCCTGGTGGTTCCGATTCATGTCAAACGAAAATGAAATGGTGAGATGGGCAGTTTATTTGTGGTAAAATGGAGCGAAATTACCAGATGAACACAGCCTAAATTTGCGCAATGGCTCCATTAAGCAGTCGAGGTGCAACGTGCAAACTTTTTTCTGTCTGTCCACGTCTCTGAAATAATGCACAATGTATAAAATATTTCTGCACCGCGTGAGCCTTTTTTATAACTTGGATCCCGACAACAGTGGGGAAATATTTCACAGAGCTAAAGCACTGAACAGTGATGTTATTGTATTGTAAAATGCTGAAAAGGAAGCACTCGCTCCCTCCCCCCTCCCCCTCCCCCCCCCCCCACACCCCTCGTTCTCTGATTAACAAAAAAAGTTTTGCAAAAAGAAATCAGTGTCCGGAATTGTTTCGATGGCAAAACAGGGAAGGAAGTGCGGGTCAGTGCAACTACTTGAGGCTTTGTGAGCTATTAAAGGCGACAAAGATGGGATTACCCGACCGTCGGGATCGTGTGCATTCGGTGAACTAAATAAAATAAAAACTAAATGATAACTTAAATAAAGTACGTGCCACGCTTTTGAAGGGGGGAAAAAAAAAGGTTCCTTTTTAAATCCCCTTTGGTCGGTCGCAGTGGCGCAACTCCGAACGTGTGTGTCGCTTCGGAGCTGCTCCGCAATTCCCGATGGCGATCGTTTCGAAAAGGGGTCATTGAAGCCACTGCACAGGCGGTCGCTATTCGAATGGGATTTAACGCAGTCATATATATATATATATAAATACATATATATATATATACATATATATTTCCCCCTAATGCAACGACTGCGTTATATATATATATATATATATATACATATATATTTTCCCCTAATGCAACGACTGCGTTAAATACACATATATACATATATATACATATATATACATATATATACATATGCAGGTTTCAGCCGTGCCTTGCTGACCCGAACTAAACGTGGGACTGGCACTGGTTACGACCGACCCACTGCAAACACACGACTTATTGCAAACCCCCTTCTTCCTTTGGGCAACTGGATTAGCTTTGCGGTGAGTGAGCGGGGTTTCCCCAGTGGGGTTTGCAATAAGTCTTTGCGTGGTTTGCACGTTGCAGTCAGTGAGTGAGTGAGTGAGTCAGTTAGTTAGTTAGTTAGTTAGTTAGCAGCGACGATGCAGGAAGTCAAAATCTATCCATATTCATTACCAAGGCGTGCCAAGAAACGCCCAAATATTTAAGAAGGCTGTGGGGACAAGTGCAGAACGTTTTTATTTAACACACACACTCACACACACACACTCACTCACTCACTCACACACACTGAGGTTACACACAGATGAAAGCTGGCTTGTTGTCAGAATCCACAGCAAGCCCAGCTTCTGCAACTCAATCGACTTGTCGCCACTGGAAGTTGCACAGCTCTGTCCAAAAGTTTGTTGGAAGTGTTGATTTTGCAAGACTTTCGTTCCACCCACCTCCCCCCACACCACCACCACCACCACCACCACCAGCCATGGCTTCTGCTGGCGTTGCGTGTCTGCCCGCAGTCAGGAGGATCGCTGTGTTCGGTGGCACTCACGGTAACGAGTTGACCGGGGTGTTCTTGGTCAAACATTGGCTTAAGGACAGATCGGAGATCCAGCGCCCAAGCTTGGAGGTGCAGCCCTACCTGAGCAATCCGGCCGCTGTAGAGAAGTGTGTCCGGTACGTGGACTGTGACCTGAACCGCACCTTTACCGAGGAAAATCTCAGGTAAGAAGAATTACTGTGGAGTGCGCGGCGTTATTACTGAATTGGCGAAGGAAAGTGGACAAGAGACACACACCCAAACCACCCCACCCACCCCATGCAAATCTGGGTTCACCAGGGGCTACGATTTAGAAGATAGTAATGTCACTGAACAGGCACATCACCAAATGGTCATCAAGCAGCAAGATGCAAATGCTAATCATCACTAGTTTGTAATCTAACATGAAATTACTGCCCCAGAGATAATCGTTGCCTCGTGATCTGTTATTTCCACATCAATTTTTATTGTCAAGTTGGCAGTTTTGTGACACTTGGTTTTTTTTTTTGGGTGGGAGTGTTGTCGCACAGCATGCACCGTGCAATTGAGTATTGTTTGCAATCTGCTTTTTTATTTTCCTCTTTTGGTTAAGCTCAATGTGTATATTTCTCCTACTCGCATCTTCCTCTTCACGGTGCAGTCTGTAGCTCAGTGGTGAGAGCGCTCATCTCGCAAGTGAGAGGACCGGGGTTCGATTCCTGGGCAGGGGGAAACGTTAGACAAATTTCCTTACTCCACACTCCTCTGTTTACTTAGCAATAAGTAGGAACCCAGTTGTTAAGTCGATTGGCAGATCGCTTTTCCAGGGGAAATAACCTCTACATGCTCCCCCTTGGTGACATCATCCGCAGTCATGGGGTCACCTTCCACATGTAATGGACAACACCCAACTCTATCTCTCTGCCTCCACCCTCGATTCCAGGACAACTGATGTCCTGACAAACTGTCTGTCAGACATCAAGGCCTGGATGAGAGCTCACATTCTACAGCTGAATGTCAGCAAGACCGTTGTCCTCCTGATGGGCTCGCGCCAGCACCTCTGCACCTCAGGCACTGGTAGCATCAGCATCCATGGATGCACACTCCACCTCACCAAGTCAGTCAGGAACATGGTCATCTGGTTCGACCCTCAACTGTCCTTTCTCCTCCATATCCATACCATGACGCGCTCTGCCTTCCCTACCTCTGCAACGTTGCCCATCTCCACCACTGCCTCACCCCTCAAGCTGCCGAAACCCTCAAAACACACATTCATCACCTCAAGGCTTGACTACGGAAACTCCCTCCTTGTCAGCCTCCCCAACTCTTCCCTCCACTAGTTGCAAATCATCCAGAACTTTGCAGCTCATGTCCTCTCCTGCACCAGACTCCTTGACCCCATCGCCACCACCCGGCTCCACTGACTCCCCATCCCTCAAAGGATAAAATCCTCATCCTCACTTTCAAGGCCCTCCACGGCCTTCCCCCCCCCTCCTACCTCTCTGACCTGTTGACTCCCTATCAACCTGTCTGCTCCATTTATTCAGCAGGCCCTGGCCTGCTCCATGTCTCCTGCCCGGCTCGCCCCACCATCTTTCAGCCTCTCTGCTTCCACCCTTTGGTACTCCATCCCACAATCCCTTCGCCTTGCGCCCTCCCTTGCCTCCTTCAAGGCACAACTCAAGAGCTTCTTTTTCGACCGTGCCTCCAGCCGCCCTCCTACCACTCTGCTTATTATTTTTGGGTTTAGTACAGCACAAGAAAAATAAGAAAACATGGGAAAAACATTCGGCCTACAGTCAACAACAACAAATTATATTTGTCTAATGCCTTTCAAGTGCATCGCAGAAAACCTATTCATGATCAACTTCACCCCAACCACTTGATCCCCTGGAGAAAGTATCCATCACCAATATTGAACCCTGGCCTCCTCCCTTCACAGGCAACTTAGTCCCCTTCTCCCAAAAGATCAGAATTTGTTGTGTTCTATATAGTACAGTATTTGTTCTGCTAAATCTGTTTCTTTGCTTTTTAAGAGTTTATTTATTGAAATCAAAATGTGTTATGGGAATAAGCAATTGGATATACACTCAACGATAGATGCGCATAGGAAACACATTAGGATTCAGGAGCACTGGTGAATAGCACATTTGAAACTCCAATAGCAATGTAAAGATAGTTGGGCCACAGTATTCCTGACTCATACATTTGAATCCCAGAGATATTCAGGCAAGTTTGTAAGTTTAATGGATTCTTATAATAGTCATAGGAATTACAGCGGAGAAGGTCATTCAGGCCAAAAATCCTAAACTTGTCTTCAGTTACTAACAATGTTACTAACAATGTGCAGTCACCAGTAAAACATACAACAGTATTATCCATTGATATCAGAAAGTACAGATTAAAGCAAAACCTATTTGTCAAATACACTTAAACCAAAGTAAAAATACAACAAATATTGACTTAAGCTTTGTGCAAGAGAACAGAGAACTCCAAAACACATGCAGCAGCTTTCCAGTGAGACTTCATTGTATAAAAAAGATAAGAGAGATACTTGAAGAGTATTTTCATCAGTACTGTTAACTAAATTAGTTTTGTTCTTTTAAAGGTTAATGGATAATAATACTAAATTTGTTTATATGAGCTTTATCTACTAATACAAGATATATTCAATGTCAATCATAAGGAAATGTCGTTGTGTAGGTGGAATATATATGTGGAACACTCAGTCTGGTTTGAATACTCTAAAGCATGATGATAGGTTTCCGCATGTGTTAGACACCCAGCTGACCAAAAAAATATATTTTATGAAACTTTCTTTTCAATTTTGCACACAACAGCATGCCACAGAATGAGTCAATGCCTTATGAAGTCAAAATAGCCCAAGAAATAAATAATTTGTTTGGACCAAAGGACAGCAAGAATGCTTATGACTTAGCTTTAGATCTCCACAACACTACCTCCAATATGGGAAACTGTCTAATTGTGAAGAATTCCAAGGATGACTTTACCATCCAGATGATTCATTATATTAAGGTAGGTACTATTCAGCTCATTGTAAATAACAAAGATATGGAGAAACAGGGGTATCAGATAAGATTGTAGCCTATTAATCTGTGCTCTGAATCCCAGGGACATGTCAAAGGTTTCAGACATTTAAATCTAATTTTTAATCTCTTTAAGGGGAAATTCTACCCTGTTTTCTCTGGATATGCACTATCTATGGCAGAGAATGGGGGTGGATGGCCTTCTATAAGACTGCCTGTGCCATTCACAGGAGATACACAAGAGTCTCCCAGGTACAACTGTTCCTCCCTCTAGTTTTCTGTTCCCCCTTTGGGGAAGCTTCTGTTTTTTTGGGAAACAGATTTTCTTTTCAGATGGGAAAAGCAGAACATAAGAACATAAGGATTAGGAGCAGGAGTAGGCTATTCGGCCCTTCGTGCCTGCTCCACCATTCAATAAGATCATGGCTGATCTTCTCACCTAACTCTGATTACCTGCCTGTCCCCATATCCCCTAATCCCTCTATTTTTCAAGAATATATCAGTCTCAGCCTTGAAAATGTTCAAGGACTGAGCATCGACAGCCTTCTGGGGTAGTGAATTCCATAAGTTCACTACCCTCTGAGTGAAGAAATGTTTCCTCAACTCTGTTCTAAGAGGCTGACCCTTAATTTTAAGCCTGTGACCCCTGGTTATAGATTCTCCTACCGGGGAAACAGACCCTCAGTGTCTACTTTATCAGCCCTTTAAGAATCTTATAAGTTTCAATAAGATCCCCCCTAATTCTTCTGTACTCTAGAGAATACAGCCCCAGTTTATTCAGCCTATCCTCATAGGTCAGTCCCCTCATCCCAGGCACTAACCGAGTGAATCTACGCTGCACCCCCTCGAGGGCAAGTATGTCCTTTTTTAAATAAGGAAACCAAAACTGCACACAATACTCTCGGTGCGGTCTCACCAAAGCCCTATACAGTTGCAGCAAGACTTCCCTACTCTTATATTCTAAACCTTTTGAAATGAACGCTAACAGCCGTTCGCCTTCTTAGTTGCTGCTGCACCTGCAAACTAACTTTTTGGGACTGGTGTACAAGGACACCCAAATCCCTTTGAATACTAACACTATCTAACTTCTCCCCTTCCAGAAAATAACCTGTTCTTTTATTCTTGCTACCGAGGTGAATAATTTCACACTTGCTAACATTGAATTCCATCTGCCACCTACTCGCCCACTCCCCTCGCCTATCTCTATCTTGTTGCAATCTTTTTGCATCATCCTGAGAGCTCACTCTGCCGCCGAGTTTAGTATCATCCACGAATTTAGACACATTACATTCAATGTCCTCGTCCAGATCATTGATGAAGGGGTAACTGACTTGCACATTTCATCTTCTCTGGTCAGTGACAAGGTACAGAGAGGCATTAACAAGACCTGGTAATAAGTAACTACTCTACAACTATTCAAAGTCATTGATCTTTGCTCAGAGGAATGTGCTTCTAAAAAGGGAGTGATGAGATTGTTCTGGTGTGTAAATAAAATATATTTGTGCAACGATTTAGTGTTCTTAAAATGTGCACAATTTTGAAAATTTCTATGAACTTTCTTCCTGTTTCCTAGAATACTTTGTCACCTAGTACTTGCCACGTGCTGGTTCTCGAAAACTCTACAGTAAAATATGGTGCAATACGAACTGTTGCTAAGCACTCTATTGGTAAGCATCAAGCCAAAGATGAGTGTCAAAACAACTCAGTAATAAAGGTAATGATTACAGTTTTGAAAACTGCCCTTAATTGGTAGAAGAAATGTAATCATTTTATTCTTCATTCTTCAGGTTACATATAACCAGTCACTTCATAATCTTGTGGCCAGAATTCTAAAGAACGTAAGATTGGAAGAAACAAATGTATTGCTTAACAACGTATTCATTTGTGAACATTCGTATCCATTGTAGACCCTCAATGGACCATTTTAATAGAGAACATTTCACAAATAACGTTTCAGTAAGATGAAGCATTTTATTACATGTTAAGAACATAAAGCATGCAATGCATTTCAAGGCACGTCAATCTCATTCCTTCTGCAGGCTGAAAATTCTATCCTTTAGTGGTGGACTCTCTACCCACTCTATCTCATGAGGAATGTTTTGCATTCTTGTTCCTGTTCCCCCGAAGCTATTCGTATGAGTCAGGAATACTGTGGCCCAACTATTTGATTTGCTGGCCAATCTAGTCTTCCCAAGTAGTTCAGGTTTGAGGCCAGAAAATAAACTAGTAATTTCCAACTTGGAAACAATTATCCAAGAGTTTTTTATGCTTTGCAGGGCAACTGTAACCTCAGGATACTGCAGCCTTCCTCCTATTTGAGCCAGCTCAACAGTACCCCTGAATAGAATATAAACATGACATTAAGGTCAGGCATTTTTTTTCCATGCAACACTGCCTATGTTTTTTCCATGTCTATCTTAAAGCACCTATCATAAATAGTGCTTGCTGATAACTACAGTAGATTACTGTGTAAAATATTTCCTATCAAGACATCCATTGCTGAGTTTACACTATCCCTGTGAGGATACCAGGAGTATGACTTCTATGGAGATGATGTCAGGTATTTTTATACATTTGCAGCCTTTTTCTGGGCTCTGCTAGCAATTATTTAGATTCAGGGCCTTATTGATTATAAGCTTCACCAAGATAGCACACATGCCCGGGATGTATTGCATTAAAAGATAAAGATATAAATAATTAAAACCAATAGTTGACAACTCAGTGCTGCAATATGTTGATGGATTAACACAATGCACATTACAGTGGTAGGACACATCTTCCCTTGTGATGTCAAAACATGGTGAACTCACAATGAGGAGGACTTACTTGTGAAGACTTCCTCAGGGAGAAGAAAACTGAAATCTAGTTAACCTGAGTCATTGTCTGTTCCTATTTAGAGGACAATGGACGAGGCCTGGAATCAGGTTTCCTGCCTTCCTTCTCAGACAGGAAAGTGGGTTAGACGGGGTGAGAGGAAGGAAGTGCATAATAATTGACACTCATTTTTCTAAACTTACAACCTAGGCTATTCAACCGTAAAATTTGGAGCAGTTTAAAAAATTCTATTCCATAACTGAGATGCAAGAATAGAAAGAGAGAGCAAATTTTAAATTGTATTTTCCAATTATGCATTGGATCCTCAGAAAGATTTACCTAGGGAAGAAAGCTACTGATGAATTCCCCATTCAAATTTTAATACAGTAGTGCCACCATCAAGAGATAGCAAGTCTATTATCTCTGTCAAGATTGATCAAGTGTCATTTTAAGAAAATACTAACATAGTTTGGAGCTAGGGTATTCATTGAGTTTGCATGGAATTTCTATATTTATTGTGTGCAAATCTCTACTTTGCCTTTGTGCAAACTAAATATGTTTTAAATATCCAAGTTTTACACTCCCAGAACCATCTTGTGACAATTACAATTGCAGAAGATAAGTTCCATTTTTTCTTGTTTTTTCACCCAGGTTTGGAAATAGGTCCTCAACCTCAAGGAGTGATCAAGGCGAATATCCTGGAAAACATGCGGAAGCTAATCAACAGCGCGTTGGATTTCACACATTTCTATAATGAAGGTGGGAATCTCAATAACACACTGATATATTGTTTACTCAAACATTATAACACTGTCTTTATCACTCGGGTATGGGGTAAGTGCTCCAGGATATCAATCTGATATTACAGCTTGCATTATTTGTCTGATTGCATTCCATACATAATATCTGCATAGTTACAAACAGACTGAAACCACAATGTTTCAGTATTGTTATCACAAGATCACGAGAAAGATTCAGATGAAGAATGCCCTTCAGTCCATTCGATCTCATGTTTCCAAAAAAAACCATTCCTATTATAGCATCAGACCATTTCTTTAAAAAAATTAGTCCAATGTCCTGGTCTAAACCATGTTTACTGATAATCTGTTCCAGTAGGAAATTACCGTCTGGGTAAAGAAATATTTCCTGGTGTCCTAAAATTGCAACGCTTGTTCTGCTATACTCAGTACTATAACTTTCAGTCCTATTCTTAAACAGATATGTGTCCATCTCCACTTCAGAGGAGTTCATCAGTGAAATACAGCACCAATATTTTCACTGAATTTGTCATCTGTGGTGGAACAAAAAGGTCAGCTCACAGTGATGCAATATTTAATAATTTGAGCGATTCACGAGTCTTCTCATGCAATATTTATTGTTATCTAGGTAAAGAATTCCCTCCCTGCACCATTGATGTTTATAGAGCTTTTGAGAAAATCAATTACCCCAGGGATTCAGAAGGACAGATTACTGCTATGATTCATCCTCAGCTGCAGGTGAGGTATTATTTGGGGTTACGGGGGTTTGTTTTTTAGCTGCGGTTTTGGTTGCTCAGTAATAAAAAAAGTATTTTTATGCTCCTCTCAGAAGGCTGTGGATTTGAGTCTGCAAATGAATTAATTTTTGGTCCACTTTCAACGTAGCACCATACTGGAATTGTTTGTGCGATAATGCACTGTGCCAAAGAGCTCCAGAATTTAGATATGTACCCGTGATTCCCCACACACTGAGTTAATAATCTCATCTGAACTGTTAAGCAGTTAACTATGAGCAGGAATCTTCTTTTATTGCTTTCTTCTACTTTTTCATTGCTGCTGTCTGATAATCCTGTGACTGATGTTTTCTTTAGAGGATATTTACTCCATCAGCAGTTGGGCCTTCAGTCTCTCTAGCCCCATCTTTTGGAACTCCATCCCACAGTCCCCGGGTAGACAGTCCTGCTCCCTTCACCTTGCTCTTTCCCTTGCCTCCTTCAAGGCACATCTCAAGACCCTCCTCTTTGACCACGCCTTCGGTCATCCTCCTACCCCCACGCTGCCTGCCCTCCACCACTCTTGATCCCAACCCCCAGCTTGGGTCCAATTACCTGACTGTACAGCGCCTTGGGACGTCCTCCCGACATGAAAGACACTGTATGAATGTAATTTGTTGTTGTATTCATCAATAAGTAAAGTTATAAATTGTGTATTTGGAAATCTCTATACAGTTTTTTTTGCCATTGGTTTCTCCCCATATCCCTATGTAATGGGGATACTACAAAGTCAATTTAGTCCTGAAACATCTCTTGTGCCCCATGATTTATAAAACTGTCCTTGCCTTGCAGGATTGTGACTGGAAACCACTGAAACCAGGTGACCCATCATTTATAACACTGGATGGAAAGACCATCCCTTACAATGGAAGCTGCACTGTCTACCCAGCATTTGTGAATGAAGCTGCTTATTATGAGAAACATCTGGCATTTCTGTTAACTCACAAAGAAACTCTGACAGCAAATGGAGTGAGGGTTGCCAAAACTTAATATAAGTCTTACTATTCTTTATAAGGCCAAAGTCTAACTTCACCAACACTATGCAATAGAAGATAACAAGTTTCCCTGCTTATAATTTATCCTGAAAGTAAAAGTTTGTTAGTATAACCTTTCTACTTTGAACAACTAGCATTTCAACTATCTAGGATTGTTAACCCTTTAGTGGCACAATGTTTTTAAAAAATCTGCCTGGCATTGAACTTCAAGCATCGTGAAATGATTCACATTTAAAGTAGGGAACAAGGTGGCTCTCTTCCTCCCCTCGCTGACTGATCAATTGGTGATTAATTCTAACAAAATGTGACTTCCAGATTTCAGAAAATGCACCTTTGCAGTTTTCCTCAAGATGCTTCCTCTATTTCCTGATAATTTTCTCCTGCTTTAAAATGTAATGACTTTCTCTCCTCCAAAGAGGATAAGGTAAACAATTTTAATAGAAAAGGTCTACATTTTCTCCTTTTAACAACCTACTATTCCTATCCCCCTATCTTCTCAACTATTGTCACAACTGTTGTCACTATAGTTCAGATTTTGGGGATAGACTAGCAAATGGATGTGCTCACAAGGTTTACTTATTCCACATTAATTGAGGAGGCACACTTCACAAGGTGAGATGAGATTTCCTTATCCCCTCTGACCACTTAGCTAACAACCCAGCTCAAAATAGGAGAAATGTGTTCATCTGAGTTGTGGGTGGGTTTGAAATGCAGATTTCCACCATGAGATTATAATACTCCACTGTAGACACATTAAAACGTTAAATTAGTTGATTTTAAATTAAATTCTACTGAATATTTGTTCATATGTCTATTTGCAGAACAATGTACAAATGAATTTCTAATTGATCATACAACTGAGAAAAATAAATGTGAAAACTACCTGTAGATCAGAGCAATATCAGTTAATATTAAAGATTTATAACAAGAGAAAAGTTGATTTGGCTGTGAATTTCTCAGCACCACAATCAGACATGAATTTTATACAAATACATTAGAGAGTTAAAAAAAATTGTATGGCTTGATATTTAATGAAATTAAATATTTTACTGGGATCTACCAAATGCCTTAGCTTAATTTCAGAGATTGCAAATCACATTCAATTCTCAAATATATAAAATAAACATGGTGCTGCTTAAAACAGTGGACAACGTGATCATGGAAATGCACATTATCTATATGGATCTTATATGCTAGATGTAAATAAAGCAAGTAATTACCACTGGAGTACCTTACGGAATATTTCTGCTTCCATTCATTTTTATCTATACACTGTGCATACGAGTTCTGAAATCAAAAGTAGGTGTCTGAAATTGCTAAATAATCCTATCCTCGACGAATGAGACACATATTTTAGAAACCAGAGATTGGACCTTTCAACGTCCATCGCTTTTGTTATGAACATTCACGCAGAAACTGATCTCTATCGTATTATCTCATCTTAGCCGTTGCAAAGGTTGAGGCACTACATTTTGGCTTGGTGCCTTCTAGTGAATTACTACCAGTAAACCCAAATAGAAAAATCTGTGTGTGTCACACCCAGAGACTTGCATCAGCTACTCAGTCAATGCAGTTTTGCACAGTCCCTCAGTAACATCTTGTGATCTGCTATATTAGACTTACTTGCATGACTGCAGTATCAATTCTGGTCCTTGGGAGGGTGCTCTTTCCATTGCAGACCACTTTATGTTACATCAGTACGTTCTGTATTTCATGGGAATTGCAATCAATATGGGAATGGAGTAGGAGAGATATACCTTAATATACCATCCTCCATTCCAGGTATCTTTATTTATTTTAGAGGTCGAGTACGGATTATTTTTTTTACTTGAAAAGACGCTGTAAGTTCGAGACACTTTAACAGTGCAAAATCTAGACCAAAAGTCAGGGTCTTTTTAGATATTGCAGTCCAAAGCTGAAGAAAACTATTCCTATTGCTTTTTCATTAAATTACAACACCTTCCCCCCCCCCAACCCCCCCCCCCCCACAAATTCCCCTTGCCCCAGCACACCAAGGAATGAGGTTGAAATTAGATTAATCTTCAGGACCTCATTGATTGGTAAAATCGCAGGTACTGTATATGCCTAGATACAATTCCACATCACAACATATTGGAGCATGGTTGTTTTTCATCAGCTGGATACCTGACGTGAATGCAAACTCATCACCATACTCAAGAGTCTCCAAACCAAACTACTGAGAGTTCCATATAATAATAATAATCCTTGCATTTGATATAGCGCCTTATCACGTCTTTGAGACATCTCAAAGCGCTTCACAGAATATACTGTAAAGTGGATTGACTATTTTTGTGGGCAAAACGTGTGTTTCTATATATTGTTATACATACATATATATGCATTTTAATGTAGGTAGATATATATATATTTATAAACACATACTGTGTGTATAGTTTCCACTTAGTAAGGAGTTCATCTTCAGATGGAGGCACCCTACTTATCTAATCACTGGTGTTGATTGTCCAGATAGGACTACCTTTGCTCTTTGGCTTGCAAGGTTATCTGGAGCAAAGTAGGCAGAAACCCAGCCTCAGTTACTTGTCCAATCCAAATCTGGCAATGAGCTGGATTAGCTGGTTAATCATCAGGCCCTGGTCATTCTAAGGGCCTAGAACACTATGAATCTACTCAAACTGCCACAAAGAATTAACTCAGTGAAAATCTTCCATGACCAGGCATGTCACTTTAGAGCCAAGGCAACCCCAAAGAGATGCTTTGCTCCCTTCAACCCACTGGAGGATCGTCACTAGTTGGTCATTGCATATCTGAAAAGGGCAGATTTTCGTCTTTGCCAGTTGGTAGTAGATAACAGAAATTTCTCACAAACAGAATGATAAGTAGCACAACCCTACATGAATTGTGTGAGAGCAATGCCACCATCCTGATAACTGAGCATTGGCGCATTCTAACGTGTTTATGTCCTTGAGTAACCTTGACATTCCAATGAGAAAATCAAACTGTTGGAATATTTATTAATGAATTATACTGTATTGAAGATCATTATCACTTTTGACAACACTTCATTTAATGGATGGTTGGGGTTGAGTAATAAGATCGTAATTCACTGTTGGGATTCTAAGTATATCACGAGTGTGAAGCTTGAATGGTTTACGAATGTCATTTGAACACCTGAGAATAAATTGAACTCACTCTCTGTCATTTGCAATTTTGACAATAAAAACTACCATCGCTGTAATAATAATAATAATAATCCTTGCATTTTGATATAGCGCTTTTCACGTCGGGAGGACGTCCCAAAGCGCTTCACAGAATATACTGTAAAGTGAATTGACTGTATATTTGTGGGCGAACGCAGCAGCCAATTGCGCACAGCAATGTCCCACAAACAGTCGTAGATTGAAAATGACCAATTTATTATTGTTTTTTTTTGGAGGGATTATTATTAGGTGTGTGGAGTAAGGAAACTTGCCCAAGGTTTCGCCCTCTGCCTGGAATTGAACTCAGGTCTCTCACTTGCAAAGCGAGTGCTCTAACCACTGAGCTACAGGACTCCACAGGCTGTACAAAGATCTAGCATTGACTAGAAGAAAGCATTTGCTGGAACACAATGCTTCTGACTGGAACAAGCAGATGGGATTTTGCTTTATCCTACCTGAAGGACAACACCTCCGACAATCCAGGACTTCATTAGCACTTGTCATCTTAGCACAATCAGCAACCCCCTTTTTTCCATGAAAATCCCCAGCTCTTTCAGGGATCCAGTTGGCCACTGCAGGCAACCCACTGAAAAAAATGAATGAGTGTCAACCCTGTTGAAGAACATTATTTCTCCTTCTTTACCTTTCTGTATACGAAAATTAGAGGCTTGAAGATGTATCAACATAGGGCGGGGCAGTGTGATTGGTGGTGCAAACTCTGTGTGCCGAATGGCCTCCTTCTGCACTGTAAACTTCTATGATTCTGATTCTTCAATATGCAATCTAGGAATCCAATGGTCCAAGCCAAACTAAGGCACAACATTGCCACACGCGGTATTTTGCATTGCCCAGTTCCATACCTGTGTATTGCAGTAATAATCGGTTGCCTTTAATGAATTAAAAATACTTTAAATAAGAATTCTCTTTAGAAAAATTGGATTCTGTTGCAGCGTTCCTTATGCTTTGACAGCAATATCAATAGCAAGCTGTGCGGTTTTACCTGGTTAGATTCCAGCAGGTTACCCCAACGCACACTCTGGGGTCCACAAGCCTTGGCTCTCACCAAACCCTCCAGTGAGAGAGTGCGCATTCCATTCCAACAATCTATCTCTGGGATTTCCATGTGTAGGTCAAATGCATGGAAATCTCAGCTTGGTTTGGATACCTCTTAAGTACTGTGATGGGTTTCTGCATGTGTCAAGACACTCGGCTGAACACCCACCCAAAAAAAAAAATGTTTATATGCTTTGAATAAAAGAACCTATTTGGAAATCAAGGCTTATACAAAATAAATCGCCCTGTAGTCTGACATTGCTTCTTATAAAAATCATGAGATCAAGCATGATTTCTAAAACATTTAACACAATGCTAATGAAAGCGCAGTGTTCATAAGTGCTGAGTGTTAGAAATATGATTTCTTTAACGTTATGAAAAATGCAGCAGTGAGCGATGTCTCCTCTACAATAATGAGAATTTCATGCTCTTAAACATGGTAACAAGATAGATACTTGCCCCCTTTAATTTTCAAAGTCTGTGAATACAGCTGTGGAGTTGTGGAAATGAGGGCAAAATTTAATTAAAGCCCTCTCTAACATGTCTAATAATAATGACTAATAAAATAGAGCATTGGTTGTCTGTGCTATATTCTGCCCTCCAGGAACTCCCTCTCTTCTCTGTAGGATACTTGCTGAGCAATGCTGGCTATCACCTAATGCTCTGTCAGAACAAACACGCTGCAATTCAACTGCTTTTAGTGTCAACTTACTCCTCATGTTTGTCGTCCAAAGTAACACCAGGTTTCATCTTATCATAGCATTCGCCTTCACGGCTGCAGAATGCTGCACCAGTTTCCCACTAATGGCTGTTAACAAGTTAATTCGGTCTCATTTTTTTGTTTTCACTCGAGGAGCTAAAGTTAGGTAAAATAAAGGCTAAAGACAGGATCACACTTTGAATTATATAGTTTCTAGTGGGCAACAGAAGTGTTCAGAGGAGCACTAAACCCGGATGATTCATCCACTGCCTTCAGCTCCAGACACTCTACCCTGTTGCATTCACATTGGCCCTAAAATTAACAAATGCTGCAATATCATACCTTGTTGACAAGACGTTCCATATGCCTTTCAGACTCATGGTTTACTCTTGACCACTCACTGCTCCCTCTCTCTTTTAATTTGTTACGCTTGCGTTACACTGTTCAAAGTTTATCAGCTGGTTGAGTCATTCAATTAATCATGTATAGAACCACACAATAGAGATGAGAAGGCTCTACATTTAATTTGCTGCAAAGCAAAACATCCAGCTTCGGTGGTCCTGCTGTCGAATAATATTTATTCCTTTGTTACCTGAGGTAGAACTACCTTTAGAACTGGTCTTGCAACTGGAAAGATGAGGGTGAGTTGGGAGAGGTTGCTTTGTATTTCACTTGCAAATCATTCCAAATCTTTTATTCAGTTTTGTGGACTGTAAGGATGGTGACCTGAGCTTAAAGCTCCAACTGTATCGGGCAAAGGTCTGGTGGTAAGGATAAAACAGCTTTCCCAAACCCTGAATTATTAAAGAGTACTGTAAAATGTCAGAAAAGCTATATACAGTAGAAAGATTCTGCTATATTTCTATAGAGCATTTGAGACACAGAAATTCAACTTGAATCACATATTTTAGTACACAGCTTTTTTAAGACTATCATAGTTGCCAGCAATTTTCATCATGAGCATCACACACGAAAAATTCCCAAGAGAGCATGGGCAACATTTTACTATCCCTTTTTTTCCTTCCTACAGTTTTCTTTCATCCTTCCTTAAACATAAATGTACCCTTCACTCCACTTTTGTGAAATCTTTTCACAAGCGTGGAATCCTATAGTGTATTGATTACAGCATTCACCTCACAAGTGAGTGGACCCGGGTTGGGTTCCCGGGCAGGGTGAAACCTTAGCCAAGTTTCCTTACTCCACACGCCTCTGTTTACCTAGCAGTAAGTAGGAACCCGGCTGTTAATTGATTGGTGGATCGCTTTCTGGGGGTAATAATCCCGTAAAAAAAATAATAATTTGGTCGCTCAATCCACAACTGAGATATTTGCTGTGCGCAATTGGCTGCTGCATTTCGCCCACAAAATATAGTCAATTCACTTTACAGTATATTCTGTGAAGCGCTTTGAGACGTCTCGAAGACGTGATAAGGCGCTATATCAAATGGAAGGATTATTATTATTACAACTGCATACTGATTGATTCATAGGGTTCAACGTCACCCATTTGAGAGGATAGCGACTCCTTTCCAGGTGTATAACTGGACCGCACCCACAGTGGAACACGCCATGGACTGTGTGCGAGCAGAAGATGCCTACACTTCGCGGTTAGGATACGAGGAGCACATACCTGGACAGGTATATCGAAAACCTTGTTCACATTAAGACGCCTGTAACAACTTAAATGAGGCTTCCTCTGTGCGTCACGTTTTCTGCCCATTATCTCTGGAATAATTTTGCAAGGGGTGTGGATTTTACCCCCACATGAGCCTCTGGATAGCAAACCTACTCCTCGTGCTCTGCCAAAGTCAAACAAATCAGAAGAGGATAAGGATAGCTCTTTCCCATCTCAATTCTCTCTGCTATTGTCCCCTCTCGAAGAGGAGGAGAGAGTTTCTGCCGAGATTCAGCCAACAGGAATTGAATTCAGCATCGACTCCATCTCATTCTAATAGGTCACTAATATTTTCCTGCACTTGAATTGTTAGCAATGGGTGTTTATTTCACATAAAATATTCATAGCAATGTCATTTCCTGCTTTGTGTTTCACCCCAAATACAATGTATTTGAATGGGTATTGATGTCATGGATTTTTCCAATAATCCTGACTAGAACAGTGCGAGCAGATGTCCAGTTATAGGTTGATTCTGGATAACAGTGTTTGCCTTCGCTTTGACACTAAGTAATCCTACTTATTAATCGCTGCAGGTTCTAGACTGAGTGCATTGGAAATTGCATTTTCACAGGGAATCTGAATCCCGTTGTGCAAAGCTCTTTTGTTGATCTGAACATCGGTATTTGATATAAATAGAGCTGTCCTGTTAGTGTTACTGAGTCTCTGCTTATTGGGCGTTGCAGAAACCTGAAGTGCTATAGTGATTTATGCTATAAATTAGTTATTTTGCCCACAAAATATACAGTTAATTCACTTTACAGTATATTCTGTGAAGCACTTTGAGACGTCTCAAAGACGTGATAAGGTGCTATATCAAATGCAAGGATTAGTATTAATTCCGCTGCTCCCTACAAACCATCTACCTAAAGGTGCTAAAATAATAGGTGTACATTCAGTACATCTCCATCTTATCTTTGTTGGTTTACATTAGGCAATTTATAGCTAATTCACACAAGGTACCCCATAGGTCAAACATATTTAGTTAAAATAATGTAATTTATTAGGCAAATATTTGGTACTTAAGCTGTAATGTGTGCAGAATGTACAAGTAACTATTCCAAGCAATACTGACACATTGGCTAAATGTTTATTCTTGCTATTTTTATACTGAACCAATCAACACATAATTACAATTTGCAACACTATATACAGTTACTCAGTACAATGTGTGGATCTTTATACTAAAAGGCAACAAGTTTTTTTAAATGTATTTATCACACGAACCACAACTTCCTAGTACATGCGGACTTCCCAAATTTCAGCCAAGGTGGGAATTGCACCGAGGGTTAAGAACAATCAGCCAGGATTCCTGATCACTATCAAGTGATTCCTTCTGGAAAGTGTGGCATTCGGGGGAAGGACAGGTTTGGGCTCAGCTATGATGCCCACTAACACTTAGTTCGCTTGTCAACACTCATTGGCTTGAATTTCACGCAGGAAGAAAGCCTTCTAAGATGAGGGGCTGGTGGTTTGTTATATGCCAGCAGAATTGCACAGCTTCACAGAGAATTATACTGTGCTACAGATTCATAATTATGAAATACAATTATTTCAGGTCTCCATATATGTTATAATTACATGTTATATAAGAATGGTGGGGGGGCATAGGGAGCCACAATGAAATACTTCTTTTGGCAAGTTTCATCATTGTAGCAATTGATATAAGCAACTATAATCTTAAAACATCTCAAAGCACTTGCAGATAATTGCTGTCAGACACAGCCAGCAATTTGCACACAGCGAAGTCCCACAAACAGCAATGATGTGAATGCCCAATTTATCTGGAAAATTGTTGGCTGTAACACTGGAAAAAAACTCCCTTCTCTTTTCAAATAATGACATGGGATCTTTAACATTCACCAGAATGAGCACACAGGATCTCAATTTAACATTTCATCTGAAGTTAGTTTCATCTGCACCTTAGTTAATGTGTCCAGTGTTGTACTGGAGTGTCCGCTTGGACTGTGAGCTCAACGTCCCATAACCTTCTGATCCAAAGGCAAGAAAACTTCCAATTGAGTCAAGCTGACAAGTTTGATTTTGTTTTTAAGGTTTGGAATCACACTCTCTGAGAAGAGGCAGAATCAACAACAATTTACATTTATATGAGCACCTTTCTCGTCAGGAGGATAATAATAATAATAATCCTTGCATTTGATATAGCGCTTTTCACGTCGGGAGGACGTCCCAAAGCGCTTCACAGAACATACTGTAAAGTGAATTTGTGGGCGAACGCGGCAGCCAATTGCGCACAGCAATGTCCCACAAACAGTCGTAGATTGAAAATGACCAATTTATTATTGTTTTTGGTTTTGGAGGGATTATTATTAGGCTCTGTGTGGAGTAAGGAAACTTGCCCAAGGTTTCGCCCTGACCTGCCGGGAATTGAACTCAGGTCTCTCACTTGCAAAGTGAGTGCTCTAACCACTGAGCTACAGGACTCCACGATGTCTCAAACCATTTTGTACAAAGATCTAAAGGCAAGTTTCGAAGGTGGTTTGCAAGGCTGTAGAACAGAGAGCAGGGGCAGAGTGGCCGAAGTCTGTGCCCAGAAATGATGGGGTTAGGGTTAGAATTGGCAAAGGACGGGAAGCAGGCTAGTGTTTGCTGAGCGGAAGGAATCGCCAGGGCAATAGGATAGCAGGATGTGGTGGGGGTAGGGTAGAGAGAGGCCATGGGGGGCATTGGAATGCAAAGTTGAGAACACTGAAAATTGATCTACTGGGGATAGTGATCCATTGGAGATGATGCTGATGGTTTGCGGTGTTTGTTGTTGGAGAGGACCTGGGCTGTAGAGTATAGCTTGGTCTGCCACTGGTTTAGGGAAGAGTTGGGGCGTCCAGCAGGAAGGGCATTTGAGTAATTGAACCTGGACACAATGAAGGTGTCGATGGGTGTAAAGAAGCAGTAAAAAAATCTTAAGTTTATTTACGGATTCAAAACATTTGCAGATTTGTACAGCACTATTTGCCTCGGCGTGAAACTATGCCGCTGTTCAGCGCTCTGAGACGCTGACCCACGCGAAGGTCGCGGTATAGATGCAAACTGTCGTTGCGGTGTGCGCAAAGAAATAATTGTTAAGTCATAATATTATTAATTCTACAGATTGAATGGTGGGTTTCAAAAAAGGGATTGGATAGGTACTTGAAAAGAAAAAAAAAATTGCAGGGCTACGGAGGTGGGAGCGGGAACTGGTGGATAGCTCTTCCAAAGAGGCCAAGGCCAGCCTCGAATGGCCTCCTTCCGTGCTGTAATGTTCTACGATTCTGACAATACCCATTCCCAAAGCACGCAATCCGGCAACAAATAATGAGAATAAGAATCCTTGCATTCGATGTAGCGCCTTATCGCGTCTTCTCGACGTCCCAAAGCGCCTCGCGGAACAGACTGTTAAGCGAATCGACCGTCTATGCGTGGGCGAAACGCGGCGGCCGACCGACCGACCGAACCGCGCGCAGCGGCGGCGTCCCCCCCCGTCCCCCCATCCCCCCCGCCACCCCCGCAAACAGCCGCGGGTCGAGAAACGACCGACTCGGGATCGCTTTTCGGTTCGGGCGGGAGGATCGGTCGGGCCGCCGGCGAGGCACGAGGGCGGTGGCGAGCCGCTCGCTGGCTCCAAACCAGAGTGAGCCACACGCGCGCGCGCAAGCAAACAGCAGCAACAGCAGCAGCAACAGCAGCAGTGCAAGACCCGGTGTGGTTTCGAACTGAAACCGGATCGAGAGAAAAAAAAAGAAAGAGGGTGTTCACTGCTTTTGCACACATCTCGCCAACCGTATTACACACACACACACACTGGGGCTGTGCCTCCTCCCCTCCCCTCCTCTCCAGTCTGCTGGAGGGGTCGGAGGTTATGAGCAAAAGGGAGGGGAGGAGGGGAGGGCAATGCACCACGTGTGGCAGTAGCAGCGCCGGCTCTGTCCTTCCGCCCGCTGCCGGTGTCAAACCGTTTACCTGTCTGTCTTGTGTTCGTTCGGAAGAGAGAGAGCAGATCGGATCGGATCAGATCGGATCGGATCAGATCGACCCCCGAGCGGCAGCGATGGTGAGCAAAACGGACGAACCCTCTCCCGCGGCTCCCGACGCCGAGGGAGGCAACGGGTCAGGGACTGACACGGGAAGGAACACGCGTGAGCGCGGTGAGTGAAAGGTCCAAATCACCCCCCCCACCCCCCACCCCCCCCAGAGAAGTAAGAGGGGAGGGGAGGGGGGGGAAGGAAGGAGGAGGAGGGGGTGGAGGGGGTCAGTTGCTCTCCTGTCCCCTCTTCTCTTGGTGGACGGTAAATAAAAGCCGATTTGCACAAAACGTCTAAAAAACGGGCGAAGGGATCACGTCCAAGTGGCAAGAAACTGGAAGGAATTTTTAATCGACTGTTAAAAGTCCCGATGGCAACACCCCCCCCCCTCCACACACCCCCCCTCCCTCCCTCCCTCCCTTCCTCCCCTCCCTCACACGCCAATAGTGAGGTCAAGTTTGAAGGTTGAATTTGGCAAAAGGTATTACAGTGTCCAAATCTGGGTCAGGATTTTTTTTTGGGGGGAGGTGTTGGGAGGGGTGTTTGGGGGGGTGTTGGGAGGGGTGTTGGGGGGGGGGTGTTGGGGGGGTGGGGGGGTGGGAGAGTTAAGAAATTCGCCTGTCTCATGTGGGTGTACTTCAACTGCTGGGGTTTGTTTCGCTGTTACAATGTTACACCATAACTCGGATTGTATCGACGGTTTCTCTGCTGGTAAATGTTTTTTCTCCCCCCCCCCCCCACTTTTTAAAAAAAATTGCTGCACCTGCATTTTCATGGTTGCAAAACCGTGAGCACTGGTTCAGTTGTGGCTTTGGGGGCGGGGGGGGGGGGTGGGGTGGTTGGGGGCTGGGGGGGGGCAGCCGGTTGCTTTTTGTTTTGGGAGTCGAAGCTTCTGCAATAATTGTTCAAACAATCAGCTGAATGTGTGTGTGTTTTGGGGGCAAATGTGCCCTTTTCTCCTTTAAACCCAATTTGCGTTTCTGCTGCCATACTTCTTCGGTAATATCTCCCCTGGTGAGAAGCTACGGTTTGACCCCCACCCACTCACACCCTCCTTTCCCTGAGCCCAGCTGCTGGGTGGCGACAGCAGCATAGATCGTATCTGTGACTGTAGCCTAGACTGGTGGAAATGGGGAGAGGGGAAAGAGGGCTGGAGGGGGAAGAGGGGTGGATGGAGAGGGCTGGGGGGGGGGGGGGGAAAGAGGAGAGGGCTGGGGGGAGAGAGGGGGGGGAGAGAGAGGGGGGGTAAGAGGCAGATGAGGAGGCGGGGGGAGAGAGAGGAGAGGGGGGGAAGAAGAGGAGGGGGGAGGGGAGAGGAGGGGGGGAGAGAGGGTTTGAGGGGGTAAGAGGCAGAGGAGGGGAGGGAGAGACCGGGGTGTGTGGAGTGGGGAGAGGAGTTGGGGGGGGAGAGGGAGAGAGGAGTTTGATGGGGAGGGAGGGAGAGACGGTGGGGTGGGAGAGAGGAGGTAAGAGGCAGAGGAGGAGAGGGGAGGGAGAGACGGGAGGTGGGTGGGAGAGAGGAGTTGGGGGGGGGGGAGAGGGAGAGAGGAGTTTAGGAGGGAGGGAGGGAGAGACAGCTCTGAGTCTCTTTAGACTCAGACTCTGTGTTGTGTGTGCCCTGTGTGTGGGGGTGGGGGGGGGGGAAGCAGACAGAGCTGTGTAAAAAAAACCTTCTCCCTTTCCTCTGCCTCCCTCCCAACGCAGGGAAGGTCGGACAGACACACACACACAGGCCCCGGCGCTCCTTGGGCTGTTTGCCCGCTGAAGGTCACCTTCAGTCCCTGCTGACTGCCGGGAGGAGAGGGGGGGGAAGGGAGAGAGGAGGGGGGGGGAGCTAAACCCTAACCAGGAGGGGCGGCTTGTGCTGCGGGGAGGGAGGAGGAGGTGTGAGTGAGTGGGGAAGAAAGGAAGGGGTTGGGGCGG